AAACAAAATAGATAAATCCCCAGCCAGACTGATCAAGAAAAAAAGAGAGTCTACATACATAAACAGAATAAGAAATGAGAAAGGAAAAATCACTATGGATACCACAGAAATACAAAGAATTATGAGAGAATACTATGAAAAAGTATATGGTAACAAACTGGATAACATAGAAAAAATGGACAACTTTCTAGAAAAATAAAACCTTCTAAGGCTGATGCAGGAAAAAAACAGAAAATCTGAACAGACCAATTACCAGCAACACAACTGAATTGGTTATCAAAAGCTACCCAAGAACAAAATACCTGGACCAGATGGCTTCACCACTGAATTTTATCAAACATTTAATGAAGATCTAATACCCATCCTCCTTAGTTTTCCAAAAAGTAGAAGAGGAGGGAATACTTCCAAACTCATTCTATGAGGCCAGCATCACTCTAATACCAAAACCAGGCAAAGACACCACAAAAAAAGAAAATTACAGACCAATATTCCTGATGAACATAGATGCAAAAATACTCAACAAAATATTAGTAAACCGAATTCAAAAATACTTCAATAGATCGTCCATCATCATCAAGTAGAATATATTCCAAGGATGCAAGGATGGTACAATATTCGAAAATCCATCAACATCATCCACCACATCAACAAAAAGGACAAAAACCACTTGATCATTTCCACAGACGCTGAAAAAGCATTCGACAAAATTCAACATCCATTTGATAAAAACTCTCAACATAATAAAGGCCATAGATGTCAAACTCACAGCCAACATACTTAACAGTGAGAAACTGAAAGCTTTTCCTTTAAGATTGGGAACAAGTCAAGGATACCCACTCTTCCCACTTTTATTCAACATAGTACTGGATGTCCCGCCATGGCAATCAGACAACACAAAGAAATAAAAGGCATCCAGATTGGTAAAGAAGTTAAACTGTCCCTGTTTGCAGATGAGATGATATTGTACATAAAAATCTCTAAAGAATCCACTCTAAAATTACTGGGACCTAACATCTGAATTCAGCAAAGTTGCAGGATACAAAATTAATACATAGAAATCTGTTGCATTCCTATACACTAGTGATGAACTAGCAGAAAGACAAATCAGGAGAATAATTCCATTCACAATTGTATCAAAAAGAATAAAATACCTAGAAATAAACCTAGCAAAGGAAGTGAAGGACCTATACCCTGAAAACCACAAGACATTCATGAGATAAATTAAAGAAGATACCAATAAATGGAAATATGTCCCATGTTCATGGATAGGAAGAATTAATATTGTCAAAATGGCCATCCTACCTAGAGCAATATACAGATTCAGTGCAATCCCTATCAATATGCCAACAACATTCTCCAGCAAACTAGAGCAAATAGTTCTAAAAGTGATATGGAACCACAAAAGACCCCAAATAGCCAAAGCAATCCTGAGAAGGAAGAATAAAGCTGGGGGAATTATGCTCCCCAACTTTAAGCTCTACAACAAAGTCACAGTAATCAAGAGAATTTGGTACTGGCACAGGAACAGACCCATAGACCAATGGAACAGACTAGAGAGCCCAGATATAAACCCAAGCATTTATGGTCATTTAATATACGATAAAGGAGCCATGGACATACAATGGGGAAATGACAGCCTCTTCAACAGCTGGTATTAGCAAAACTGGATGGCTACATGGAAGAGAATGAAATTGGATTATTGTCTAACCCCATACACAAATGTAAACTCAAAATGGATCAAAGACCTGAATTTAAGTCATGAAACCATAAAACTCTTAGAAGACAACATAGACAAAAATCTCCTGACTATAAACATGAGCAAATGTTCCGTAACATATCTCCTCAGGCAAGGGAAACAAAAGCATAAATGAATAAATGGGACTATATGAAGCTAAAAACTTCTGTACAGCAAAGGACACCATCAGCAGAACAAAAAAACATCCTACAGTATGGGAGAATATATTTGTAAACAACATATCCAACAAGGGGTTAACATCCAAAATATATAAGGAACTCACCACACACCTCAAAACCAAAAAGCCAATAACCTGATTAAAAAATGGGCGGAGGATATGAGACAATTCTCCAAAGAAGAAATTCAGATGACCAACAGGCACATGAAAAGATGCTCCACATGGCTAATCATCAGAGAAATGCAAATTAAAACCACAATGAGATATTACTTCACACCAGTTAGGATAGCCAGCATCAAAAAGACTAAGAACAACAAATGCTGGCAAGGACGTGGAGAAAGGGGAACCAGCCTACACTGCTGGTGGGAATGTAAACTAGTTCAACCATTGTGGAGGTTCCTCAAAAAACTAAAAATAGAAATACCATTTGACCCGGGAATTCCACTCCTAGGAATTTACCCAAAGAATACAAGTTCTCAGATTCAAAAAGACATATGCACCCTTATGTTTAATGTAGCACTATTTACAGTAGCCAAGATATGGAAGCAACCTAAGTGTCCATTAGTAGATGAATGGATAAAGAAGAGATGGCAGTACATATACACAATGGAATACTATTCAGCCATAGAAAGAAACAAATCCTACCATTTGCAACAACATGGATGGAGCTGGAGGGTATTATGCTGAGTGAAATAAGTCAGGCAGAGAAAGACAAATACCAAATGATTCCCCTCATTTGTGGAGTATAACAACAAAGCAAAATTGAATGAACAAAACAGCTGCAGACTCACAAACTCCAAGAAGGGACTAGCAGTCACCAAAGGGGAGATTTGGGGGAGGGTGGGTTGGGAAGGAGGGAGGAGATTGAGAGGTATCATGATTAGCACATATTGTTGGGGGGGGATCATGGGGAAGACAGTGTAGCACAGAGAAGACAAGTAGTGACTCTGTGACATCTTATTACACTGATGGACAGTGACTGCAATGGGAATGGGGAGGGGGCACTCGATAATATTGGTGAATGTAGTAACCACATTGTTTTTATGTGAAACCTTCATAAGAGTTTATATCAATAATACCTTAATAAAAATATTGTAATAAAACACAAAGTAAATTGAAAAAAATGCTATCAGTTTTACACACTATAAAAAAATAATTCATGAAAGGAAGAATTAATTGATGTGGCAAATTTCACTGCTGTCTCATTTTAACAAATTGCCACAGCCATCCCAACCTTTAGCAACCACCATCCTGATCAGCCAACATCAACACTAAACGAAGACCCACCAGCTGCACAAAGATAACTTCCTGAATGCTCATATAATGGTTAGCATTTTATAGCTGTAATTAATTTTTTTAATTAAGGTATATACATTTTTTTTAAAGATATAATGCCACTGAACACTGAACAGACATACAGTATATAAACAACTTGTATAGGCTCTGGGAAAGCAAAAATTCATTTGATTCCCTTTATTGTGGTAGTCTGGAACCAATCCTGCAATATCTCTGAGGTGAGCCTGTAAATAAATAGGTTAAGCAACAGAAAAATAATCAGTGCTACTTTACACTATAATGTCATAATAATATAAACAATATTAAAAATATCTGTTATCCTTATAAACTGAGGCAAAGAAATGGTGTAATTTCATCTTTCTGAAAAAAAAAGCACACTTATAGATAATGCTTTTGCCTCTGAGGAGTATCCTATAAGCTTCTAAATATTCTTATACCAGTGAGGTACTTATTTTTTCATCACTAATTCATACCACCCCTCACTTACTTTAATAAACAGTTAGTGTTAAACTATGTAAAATGTTTGCCATCTGTGGATACAGCATATCAGCCAGTAAATAAAACTTTTAAATCACCTGTAGTATATAGTAGAGTTTAAATAAGATTACACAGCAATCTGGCATAAAGACTATTATCATATCCATTGATCGTCTTTCAGTTTCACAAAATCAAATATGTTCAAAATTAATTACTACTATTTTATCTTTTTCAGAGGACAAAGGACTCATCTATGAATCATTAAGTCCTTCTTCATTAGTTTCCCTTTTCATTTAGTTAATTCTCATCATATTAAAGACCCAAGAATCAAGGGTCCAATCAAAAGTATGGTTTGTACTTAACAGCAAGAAATTTTGGAGGCCAAGGATGAATGCTATATGGAAGAACTATTTAGAAGAACTACTATTTGCTTCTGTATTCTGATCACAACTGGCACCTTAAAGATAGCTCCTTTATGAGTAAGTGGACATCCCTCTTTAGTATAAAGTGGTTTTATTAAGGGAAAGTAAAGCTGAACATGTATCACATATGTAGTTCTGATTTTTATCATTTACTACTGACATTCTCCCTAGGAAGAAAGTAATTATTATCTTAACTTTGTTAGTTTCATTAAAAGTTCGTTAAGGGGTTAAGTACTGAAAGCTTACTGGAGTAAAACAAAGGCCACTGGGTTAAAGGTTTAAAGTACAAAATCTGGGGATTATTTGTGAATTTTTTCCCATTGCCACTGATCTGATTTTTAATAAATAATCAAGTGGCTAAAAATGTGATAAAAATTTACATTAATTTTGTCTTGTTTAGAAGTAAATACCAGGTACCTGGCACCCAGAAATGGCTCCTAATAGGAAACCAGTATAAAAAGATGACCAGACTTGAGATTTTCATTTCAGTCTCTTCACAGGATATTATTTTTTTGATCTATTACAATTCTAAAAGTATCTTTAAAAGTGTTTATCAAGACAAGTTAACATGGTTTACAATTCAATATGGATTTATACATATATAATTGGCAACTTTAGTTTGGGACTATCATATTTTTGGATAATTTTAGCATCTGTACATTCTTCTCCATTTGAGCGTACTGTCTCTGCTATGTTGAAATAGCAAGACATGTATAAATCTCTTTCATTGTGATTCTACTGAAGACTTTAATAAATTTCATACCTATTACTTTCAATGTAATACAATCAATTTAGATGTTAATTTTAAGTATATACTTTGTTAAATTTAAAATAAAAGAAACACTTAGGGGTTATTTTAATTTTGAAATCAAATGTCTTATTTACTATTTACCTGGTGGTGGAATCAGAGGTGGAGCAGTGCTGACAGTTGGAGGAGGTGGAAGAAATGGAGGAGGTGGAAGGTGGGTGGGAGGAGCTCCTGGAGGGAAAAATGGAGGTGGTTTGCTAAAATTGTTGTCTACTTCAGTAGCTGATCTTTCAGAAAGGACCTAAAATTAGACCATAGTTAATTAAAAGATGAATAAATGTTAATCTAAGATTAAATTCAGCAAAGTAATTTCATACAATCTAAGAACAAAGTAGAAAGTTTTATTCACATATTGATATTTTGGGGACACAGGAGTAATTTCTCTTTGGGTGTGATATGTGTATATCAGTGAGTAGACACTCACACACACAGTTTTTAAAATGTTCATGATCAAAGCCTAGGAAAAATAACTAAGTCATCAAAAATAATTCTGAGAAATAATTAAGTGATAAAACATTCTAAACAAGAGATAATTAAGTACTTTAACTGAGTAAAAAGTATTATCTTTACCTAACTGAAATTAAAATGCCCAAATTAAGGGAATGTAATCACTAGATACTACCATTAAGAAACTAAAATGGCAGCAGAGCAAGCCAGATACCCACTGTATCAGGGCCCGCCACATCCAGCCGCAAAGTAAGACACTTGAAGACATGCATCAACAGGGTACAAGTAACAGGTAGCCAAATATATAAATAACTTTTTCATGAGTCTTATAACTTTAAGAACAAGGATTTATACCTGAAATATAAGTGTTTTATATAGTACTTATCTGTGTGAATAGGTAAGGGACAGGCCCAAACCTGCCACCTAGAAATATTTTTGACAAGCTCCTTAAGGGAGCTCATGTGCAAACATGTCTGGGAAACAGCAGAGTCAGGCTACATAATATGGCATATTTAATCTACACTTCTCAAATCCTTGCTGGATGAAGCATATCATTTAAACACATAACCCCTCTTTCATTAACTTTTTTTACATTGAAATACAGTAATTTTTGTAAGGCTTGTGCTGATCAGTTAGTTATTCTTTAAAGCAGGGAACATAATTATCTTAGGGAGAAATGGCATTTTAATGGTGGGAGGAAGAAAGAAGGGACCACCTTCCATTTTAGAAATGATTTACCTTCAAAGATGCTAAAAGGAACATTTTACATGATTAGTTTATTAAAGGTAAGAAATGAAACACTTTGGACATTTTTAAAGTACTCAGTTTAAAGTTTCAGGTACTAAAGTTCTAACTTGAATTATCCAAGTTACTAAGTCATCTCCTTTCATTCTTTCACTTGAAAACAAAGAAAATCTACTCTCCTCACTGTCCCTAGATACATCACGTTCAATAAATTATGGTATATCCATACAATGGCCTTATATGAGGTAATGTTATATCCTATTTTTAAGAATATGGGAAAATGCAAATAACTTTGAATTAAAAAATAAAATGCACAAAAATGGTATCCCAATCTTGCATGATGACAAGAGATGTACCAGAATGTTAAGAGTGGTTGTTTTTCTGATATTTTCCTTTTTTTTGATCCATTGTACCTATATATTACATTTATAGCAAGGAAAAAGAAATCTTCCTAAAATAGATCCAAAGATATAAATTCTAAGTACAACAGCTTTTGTAATAAAAGGGTGTTGATCCCACATTTCAAAGCTCTTTGTATCACCTAACACATAGCACAGCACTACAAATGTACACTGACAAAATAAAATAACTCTTCAGTTAAAAAGAAATAGTAATTATTAAAATACTATACCTGTATGTTGCTGTTTTCATTTGCCCGTCGCCTGCCTTCCACTCGGCTTATAGTTATAGTCTGACCAATAACATCAATTGCCCCCGGTAATCTCCTGTAATATAAAAATTCAATCAATGCAGTTTCACCTAATTAGATGTTTGAAAAATAATACAGATATTAGATAAGAAATAAAATCTAAAAACCCTGGCAATGTACTTTAAAATAAAATTAGATCATAACACACATTAAAAGTAAGTCACTAAACTAGTTAGATCTTGCTACTTTGTACCATCATAAAAACTGTTCTATTAGTAAGCTGAAACCAACCACCCAATGATGACCATAATGTTAAATTTAAGTATTTTTGTAAGTTTCTTCTAAATTTACTAGTTTTTAATACGTGTCCCACTGAATTTATCTTTGTGGAGTTGAATCACACAGAAAATACTAGATAAATGAAAATAAAAATTTTTAGCCATTATAACAGTAATGGCTAAGTTTCTATTACAGAAACTTAAAAAAAATTCTCCCAAAAGGCTTGAAAAGATACATTCATTTTGATACATGCAGGATTATCAGAATATTTTCCTTAGTGATTTATTCTAAGCACTAGAAATCATAAAACAGGGACCGGTTTTCCATTTCTGAGTAAGTTGCCTTTAGACAAAAAAACCTCAATATTTAAATAACTGCCCCATATCCAACTGCATTTGCAATCCGTTGAAGTTTAGGCACATGAGTGAGCAGATGGAAAAAGTCTACAACAAAATAATGCTGCAAACTTAGTAGGAAAATCTAATAAATATAAAAAAATAAAACATTGAAAGCCATTTAATGTAGTTAAGGATCTTATAAAAGTATATATATGCTTACTAACAAGATGTGTAAGTCACTTGTAGGAATAGGCAATGAAAAATGGATACAAATTAATAAATTTCTCTTCATTTATATTTCAGTTCTGAACAAATCTGCCTTTAAAACTTTACAGAAGTAAAACAATCAAAATACTAAAGATCCATCCACAGATACTCAGTTAGGTTCCTAAAATGCCTAATTAACAGAAGCTACCATTTGTGGAATGCTTACACATTATATCTTAACCTCATAATAACCCTTAACTTAAAAAGTTACTGTATACTTGCTACAGTAATAAAGCTATAGCCCAGACTGTTGTCACCAACCTCAGTCATAATTAAATGGCAAAGCTATCTTTCAAACCTGAGCCTTTCTGATTCCAAAGCCTACAGGCTCCTTCTCTTGAGCCATGGTACCTTCCAGTAAGGTAAGAGGCCTCTGAGAAATTTAAGATTTCCAAATATCAAGAACTAGTGAAAAGTCTGTCTCAAACGAACCTTGAAAAGTCCCATAAATAATTTGATGCTCACAAAAAAGACAGCTCATAAAAAGCATATAATGGAACCTGAAATGTCTTCAACTACATAGCCAATTCCTGCTTTGCACTTTGCCCTCTTAAGACTTCTGTTCTCTGTAATTTCAATACACACAAAAAAAGTTCAAGTCTTTCTGATTCTATGCCTGGTATACTGGCTTCCTAGATTCCCTCATGATTTCAAACAAGTGTGTTAACTTGTACCCTTCAATATAGTTGAGAAACTATCCCAATATTCAGACATCAGAAAAATCCAAATACTTGACATTAAACAAATATTGCTTCAATATTTCCCTAAAACTTATTACAAAGCTATACCCACTATAACTTCACATCAAAACATATACCATCAGCCCTCTGATAATATACATACATCTCAGATTCCAACATCCTAAAAGATAAAGTTGTATATTCTGAGGCCAGGATTTCCCTCATCATTTCTTGCTACCTGGACTTCACTGAAAAAAATCTTTTATTTCTCCTCTACTATTTCCTTTTCCACTCTTTTCTATTCCCAATTGCTAGATTCCCTCCTCTCCATCTTTCTAAGTTTATTCCCATCAAGAACAGGGTCTCACAAATTTGTCCAGATTTGCATTTTGGACTGCATATTCTCTAAATTATTCAAAGTGCAAAAATTAAATCTAGATGCAATACTCTAATTTTTGTGACGCGTAAAGATTTCTATAACTTTTTACAATGGATTTCTAAAGCTTTCTGCTTACAAAAATTCTGGGACACACTGGAGTACTCATTTCTTAAGTTTATCTTAAATATGGTTGGAGACGTCTATTTTTTTCCAGCTTTAAATGGATTAATCCTTAAAAATTCAAAATGTAAAAACGATGCTTCTAAAAAAATACATGTAAGAAATTAGCCTTAACAAATGTGTATCTCAAGACAGAGTCTAGAAAATTGCAGTTCCTTATATTTCCATACAATACCTCCTTGCTCAGACATTTTTTTTTACACCGGTTTACCTTAATCAAAAATGTGAACTTTACCATTTTGTTCAGAAATATTTTGTGACAGATAAAGAAGCATGTACTAAAGTTACAAAAAGCACATAATATTTAACACAGATTAAACAATCCATGTTATTCTGAGCCACATTATGGAAAACAACAATAAACCACATTATTCTGTAAGTTTTTGATGTACCACTTTTTATTCCAATGCATACAAAGATTTAGTAGAGTTTCACTATGAGGATCTACTGTAACTTGGGTTTCCACAGAGCACAGCTTTAACAAATTTGTTCGACAAGCAGACAGCTAATGCAATTATTAAGATTCTCTTCTGTATATTGGACTCAAATCATGTAGTAAAAAGCTCAGAGACAGAAACTATCTATGGTGGATATCTACAATTTCACTAATCTCTAGGTTTAACACAGGCAGTAAGCGTTCACAAGAGCCTCTCCCTTTCCTGCTGACAGAGACAAGCATGAAAATCTCTCTGAAATTATCATGGAATTAAATTAAAATTAACATGTCATATTTTGATGATTCTCACTTTCCAAAAAGGGTATGAGGGCTACTTACAAAGATACAACAGAAATTTTTAAAGTGACAAAATCAGGGCCAACGGCAGACAGACAGGAGGTTAATCATTAATCTTCTGCCACAAATTTTTCTGAGCTTATTTTTTAACGGCAAAAAATAAGGAACACCAGTAATGACGGAAGTCTTTCTATTGTGCATAATATAAAAAAGCATTAGCTCTGAAGCCTGCTTTCCTGGTAATAGTAATAGCTAGTATTTATTGAGCACCTTTTTACATGCTAAAAAAAGGTTCTAAGTACTTTAGTTATATTTATTCTTCTTAATAACCTTATGATGTAGCAACTATTTCTATTATTCCTTTTATACAGATGAGAACACAGAGAAAAGATTCTCTCTTGAGACCATCTTAAGAGAAAGTATGACAGAGTACTAGTTTTCAAACTTTTGACCACAATACAGAGTTAAGAAATATTTTGCAGAGCAATCCAGTACACACGTATTATATAAAAAAAACAAAAGCTTCATGAAACAATACTTACCTACACTTATATAACGAAAAAGGGTAACATCAAAATCAAATATGGTTTTATTAATATTTAAATATAACACAGAAAGTAAACAAACAATATTAAACCAAGAAATATTTGGTGGCTGAGACCACTAAATTGTTTTCACACTCCACTAATGGACTGCAATCTCATGCTTTTGAAAAACACTGAAATAAGGACAAAATCTCCAAAATTATTACAATGAAAACAGAATTTCACAGAGCTGTTTCTCAAAATGTTCTTCAATACCATGTGAAGCATAACAATACACAATAAAAGTAATTTAATCAGGAAAAACAAAAAAACAATGTGGTCTGAGTAGACAGCCTTCTTAATGGTCAGACTTGACCTAAGGGTTTTATTTTACTTTTGAGCAAGAATTCTCAATCAGCATGCATGGGATACAGAGGAACAAGGAGGTCCATGAACTTAAAACATGTGTGCATATTCATTATTTTTTCAGACAAGGTCCACAGTCTGAAGCAAATTTTCAAAGGGATCACTGCTTCAAAGAAAGTTCAGAATCGCCGTTCTCAAAGAATGAATGAATCACATATCCTTGAAGGAATTCATGAGTATTTTCTTACAAAAGAGCTTCTAATGAGAATTGGGCAGGAGATAGTTCAAGTGTGTATTCTCTAGGAAAAAAATCTTGAATGAATGTGGTTATTTTATATTGCCATGTTAAATACAGATGCAATGGTAGGATTTTCTAATTCAGATCATACAGCTCTAAATGATGGCTTGTAACTGCATGGTAACTGGTGTAACACCCCTTAAGCTCCTTTAGGAAAGAGAGAGGCCCTGATAGACACATAAAATGGATTTAGTTTCATAGGATGGGAAGAGGACATTTCAGATGGAGGGAAGAACATGAGCAGAGGAAGGATGTGCGGAAACTATTACGTGCAGGACTCCAATTCAGTCAATATATTATCTACCAATCAGTTTGCAACAGAATACGTATGATCCACCATTGACAGTGATTACCAACAAAAAGACTTTCAAAGAGGCAGAGAATATATATTAAATGAGACACACATATAAGAAAAGGCTCTGTGAGGTTGTCAAATGTTATGCAAATGTCAGTTCCCATTAAAGCTACATCTATCACTTCACTTCAAATTCCAAGGTCTCAGTTAACATTTGATTTTAATTTTTATAACAAGCTAGAATCCTGTGTCTAAATCAGTAGCTCTTAACTCTTCCTACACATCAGTCAACTGGGGAGCTTGTAAGAAACTTAATTCCCAGACTACTTAAATCAAAGTCTCTCAGGCCTAAGCATCACTCATTTTTTGAAGCTTCCCAAATAATTCCAATATATAGACAAAGCTGAGGACTACAATTAATGGCATGCCCAAGAAGAGACTTACATTTTGTTCTCTTCTAGAGAGAGTTTAAAGTAGTTGATAAAAATTAATATTTAAACTTTTTACTCAATATATATAAAGTCATATCTATCAAGGTCTGACAATTATGGTAAGGTTAATCATTACATATGGATTTTTATACTGATTTTCTGAGTCTTGTGAATTGACATGGGACTGCCTGTATTTTTTTTTTTACATTCACAAGCACAAAAACAATCTTCTCTATAGTATATGCATAGATTAAAAAATTTTTGATAACTTTTCAGATTCATGAATAATCTAGACAGTAATATATGTCCAAAATAAAAATCACAGAATTTAAAACTTTATTCCAAACATTTAAATCATTTTCTATCAGTACAACATTTAGAAAGACTGGCACAGCCTGTGATAAGAGCAGAGATCCAAAGGGAACTCACACTTACTGGGAGCCCTGTGACAGGTGCTTTCGCAAGCCTAGAAATGAATTAACCCACAAATACACAGCAAGTAAGGTGGAAGGTGGAAGTCCAATTTGTGTCATTTTCACAGATGTGGAAAGAGGCTCCTCTGTGAAGCAACGTGCCAGCACCACAATTCAGGCTCAGGTATGACCAACTCAAAAATCTCTTCTTCTTCCACAACAGTATTTTTCAAGCTAATTTCTGGGGTCTGAATTTTAAAATGTCAAGTTACTTTTAAGCAATATTAAAAGCAAACCCCTCAATACTGAAAGGCTAAATGTTAAAATCTGACTCAGTGGCAGACATAAATTTGCTCATCAGAACAGTCAAGTTTACTCACTCTGTGCAGACCTTGGAATAAAGCTTTACCTGCCATATGTATGCTTAATTTAATTTTTTAAATGTATTACTGATAAGAAAGGATACCATTCTATGAGGAATTTTTAAAAAATAAAAGTCTTCATATGTCCAATCACATAAAATCCTACAAGCTACACAATATGTCAACACCCAAAGTGCTCAAATGCCATAAAGGCACAGGTGCATCTTTCTGGTATGTTTTATCACCCAGATATAATAGTAAGTAGTATGAGAACAAATGAAGAGGCTAATCTTAGATAATGGTCATTTAACATCCAGTTTTACTGTTAAGTTTTATGTTTGTCTATTACAAGAAATGCAAACAGGTTTACATACCATATTGATTCTACATCAGAATGCAATTTTTACTGTTCTTCTCAAGAATCTGAATCAAATAAAAAGCATTCTGGTATTGGAAAACAAGCTCTATAAAACCTAGAAATTGCAACTAATTACCTAAAAGCAGAATGTGGTATTATTAAATGGGAACAAAAATACAAAAATAAACTGGACATGAGGATAAAATTATAGCAATCACCCACACAGACAATTTCATTTTCTGTGTTCATTAAAACTGCCTCATTCTCATAACTGGCCTTATAAGAGTTACAAGTCGGAATTCATAAAACAAATTCGCACCAATAAAACGCCATTTTATATACACAGAGTTAGTTTAAAGAGTACTATTAACCAAAGTCTGAAAAACACTGTATTATGTAAATTAAGAGGAACATGCATGCAGTAAGAGGTCCAAGTCTCCAAATATAGTAACTTATGAAAAGGATCTCAACCACCATTTACTTGCTCTTTACAAACTTAAGCTATGTTTGAAAAAAAATCTCCACATTTCTTGGTTACATTAAATACAAGAGCTGGATTTGTTTTCGTCATATGGTGGAATAAAGTGTGTATATGTATATATGCGTACAGATACACACACATACATATGCTATATAAAAGGAGAAAAGTAGCTTTTATCTGTTCTAAGTTTCAAAAGCACAAAATACACACCAAAAATAAAGGGTCAAATTTCCTACTACCTATATTCATGAGAGTAATAACCAAGTCAGAATAGGGAGTTTTCCATTCTTCCACAGCACTTGGGGGTGGGGATGTAGTTACAAGTATAAGCATTGAGATGTGTCATTTTCAGATGTGAGAACTCGTAGGTATTTTCCCCATGAACCATTTTATTTCAAGAAATAAAATACTGCATCAAAAGAGTAACTATTTTAATAAAACTTTTAAGTCAAATGACTGCTACAAAAGGAATTTCAGATGTTGAAGTAATAGTACCAAAAGAAACAAATGTAAAGTTAAACTTACATTAAAAATAACTGGTTTTAAGTATTTTTACATCTTTGCTTATTAAAGAAACTTGCCTGAACTTCAAGTATTAAAAAACAGAAACCCAGGGATTCTAACCCTGGCTTTGCCCCTTAATTAAGGCCATTCTCTAATTTTCTTATTCCCTATTTCCTTGGATCTTTTCCATGTAAACCAGAAACTAGCCAGAATTTCAAAACTAAAACTGGCCTTGCAGATAACACAATCTAGCCTCGTTATTTTTACAGATGTGGAGAGGCTTGAAGATTTTAGGGAATGATTCTAAATTCACACAGGCACAAAACCAAACCTAATACCCAAATCTAGTACTTAATGCCATGAAACTGCTGTTAAGTTTAAGAAAGTAGTTATTCTTTACATACAAGATGGCTGCTACTGACTCATTATCAACAGCAGCATGATGAAAGGGTAACCTCTTATTGTATGGCCTTTTTGCCATCAGTTAAGTAGACTGTCCACAATGTTGGCCATGTTAAATATGAATCCAAGTGTTTCTTTATGCACTATATGCTATAATAACCAAGTTAATTATTATACAGAAAATGTGTAATTGGCAATGCTATTAAACTTCTGGATTCCATAAAAAGATCAAATGTGAAAAGATATAGACTCCACCTAACACTTGTCAGATTTAACTTTTCTTTCTTTAAACTAATTCATTTGAAATTTCTATTGTTGCTTCAAGGAGAATTTCAGTTTTGAAAACTATGATTAATCAGCATAAAATACATATGAAAAAACATCAATAAGTACTTTTAAAATATTAAGCATGCAAATTTGTATTCTGTAACTTGCGGTCAAAGCAATACATGTAGCTGACACTATTCTAAGAATATAGATATTTCTATCTTCATTAATTACTGTATATATGTTTGGAAAGTCTAAAAAGTCAAAAATTTTAAACTTTGAGATGAATATCCACTTTTGAGAATGACTCAGCTTAATCTCTCCTAACAGAGATCTTCTCAAAGAAGTAAACTAGAAATTTTTACTACTCATGGGAAATATATAATGAAGACCCAAAGAAAAGGAAATCTAATAAAATAAAATTTTGATGGTGTTTCCTCCCTTCAACTTTTTCTCTTAGGCAGTATGATCAAAGATATATGATGATTTACATATCTGAAATTTGCAACTGAAAATAATTAAAAGCGAATTAATATAGCATCAAGCTGCCGAGGAAGAAAGTTTAAAATTTTCTAATTAAAACAAACAAAATACAACCCCCTCCCATACCACCGCTGTTTAAAACTTAAAAATGGTAAATTAGGAAGGTTATTTTAGTCTATATTTCTAAGTGAAACAAAGTATAATTGCTCAGACTGATTACTGTTGGCAATCACTTGCATTCCCTAGCATATTTGCTTCTCACTATATCACTTAGGGTAGAAATTTGTATTCCCATTTTACAGGCTAAGAGAGTTTACAATACTCATTCAAGATTGTATGCTTTGTAAGATTTAGAACACAAAGCAAAATTCCACTCAGGGTGGATTATGAGTAAAATCAGAGCAACAATGAGGGAAACTACTTCCTAGGACAGCTGGTGGATCCACCTAAGGAATGCCAGGTTTATACCCTGTAGTTGGGATAAGAAGTGTGGAAAGATTCAGTGGAGTTCAGTTTTACAGGTTCTAAATACTGGCTCAGAAAGCTAAATTTTATTCAACAAATAGTCAAAGGCACCCAGTGAATGATTTTTTAACAGGGTATGATGTGAAAAGGAAGAATTAAACCCGCAGCAAAGGGGAGAAAAAATGTATTGAGCACCATTAGCATGGTTCCATACAATTTATAATGATTATAAAGAGCCAGAGAGATGAGAGGCAAGACGAGAGGTCAAAAGGCCTGATTCCTAAAAGTAACTTAAAAAACCCTCAATTCTATTCTGAAAAAGCATAATTTAGGGGTTAAATTATGGTACAGTCTAATCAAAACTTAGTATCTTACTAATAAAACAAAACAACACTGATGATCTAGACATCAGGGAGTATCCAATGTTTAAAAATAGCCTTACCTTAGATCAGGTGATTCGGCCCTCCCATATCGATCCTGCCACTTCCCAACGCTTGAATTGGCTTTTCTGGAGGCAGAACTTGGCTGAGACTGAGAAGAGGTGCTGTTTCTGGTGAGATAAATTTTCTATGTTTTTTCTTACATATTGTTGTCTCTGACCCCCCTTGTTCTGTTTTGTTTTTTTTTCCTTGACATGCTTTTTCTAAAGTCCTTCAGCATGTTCCTATAGTATCATTCTCTTCAAGCCACAAAAAATACTTGCTGTGGGACTAAGACTGCTAGTGGTATTTAAATACAAATGTGTTATCAAACCCTTTATTAACTCTAGAATATTTTTAGAAATATATTTCAACACAGACAGTATGATGTCAAAATGCAGAAATGCAAAATAAAGTCAAGGGCTTACTTCAAGTTATATTATCAAGAAACAAATTTCTGTGCTTTTACAAATTAGTGACATTAATTTCTTTAGTTTCACAAAGACTTATTTGAAACTTTGCTATTTCTTTCCCTATATTCTTCAATAATAGGTGTAAATATTGTTAGTGTAACCAGGTCACATTAACACTCTGATGTGGTTCATAAAAAGCTACACTAAATATGTATTTCATAAAAATTCCACTTCAAAATAACTCTTCCAGTAAAAGTCTAAAGAATGTTGATTTTATCCTTGATGATATACTCCATAAAATGTTTAGCTATTTATACTCTTACCAATCCTTTAAAGGACTAATAAGACACTCTTTCAAAGTAGCAGGAAAAAAGTATGTCCATTTATCTGCTTATTTATATAAAAAGAAACACAGGAAGAATAAACCAGAAACAAGATGAAATGAAATTATTGACAGGAGTGAACGAAATAGGGGGAAAAGTGACAAATCTGATATACTTCAGGAACCATGTTAAATGTTTTATATATACAAAAAATTATGTATGGAAGAAAAGAAATTCTAATATTAAACAGAAACAATGGATCAAATTAAACTTTAATTAATATAACCACTGTGAAGGAAACCTCTGAACACAGTATTGTGACCATATACTCTCAGTCTAAAAAGAAGAGAAAAAATTGCAAACCAGTCTTGAATTCTATTTAATAGGTTTGTTTTCTGTAATGCTAGATGCAGAAGTTCTATTTTGTTTTAGGATTAAGCAAATGAGTGTATATAATAAAGTTTTTGGGAACTAAGTTCTCAACGTGGAAAACGGAGATACAATAATGGATTAGGAAAAGGGAAGTAGAACCTGGTGGTGTCAAACTGGAAGTAGAAGCAGCATGATGATTACACGATTAAAATTTTATGAAAAGAATATATGTACAGCAATTTCTTATTGAAACTGCTTATTTTTTCCCTATGTAGAAGCAGCATGATGATTACACGATTAAAATTTTATGAAAAGAATATATGTACAGCAATTTCTTATTGAAACTGCTTATTTTTTCCCTAGCTCTGGGTGCTAAAAACACCCAGACACAGATACACCCCAATAGCAATGAGTGTTTAGAGACAAGATCTTGGTGTCTGATTACCATTTCCCACTAAAAGGCATCAGGGTGCTCCTCCAGAGATGGCTGTTTGGGGGGAAGGGGTGGCAGCAGGGAAAGCACAAGATAAGCCTAGAACATCTACCTGGTTCTCAAAAAAAAAAAGGGAACATGTCAAAAGATCACCAGGAGCCAGTGTATAAAGAGGCTCCTAATGACCAAATCTGGAACAATCTGAGTATCAATATGAATTACAGTATATACATAAATCATATACAGTTTATATGCCACATACAAATAAGCATATTTATAAGCCACCCACACACTTACACATGAAATAAGAATTAATGAATCTAGCATGAAGGTAAGAAAGCTCATTTTTAAAGTAAAATGCCAACTAATTAATCTAAGAGGAATAAATAATCACTATTTTACAGCCATTATGGTAATGACTAAACCAAAAATCATCAATGGATATTAAAATTCTTGAGAAGTTCAAAGAGAAAAATGTTGTTTACACTGTCTCCTTACCTGTTACTTATTACATACAAAGGGTGGGGGAGGGGGGAAATAGTAACATTACAGTGCAGAAACCCAACGGACACCACAACTAAGTGATTAAAGTTATCATCACTAATAATGGGACAAACTGATATCATATACCTACCAACTGATGTACTGAAAAGAACACAACATCATATAACACAGTATTCCTGCTCAAAAAGGAAAACCTGAGCTAATAACAAAGGAAATCAGGTAAACCCAGACTGAGGGATGATTTACAAAACTGGGTATTATTCTTTAAACTTCAATGTCAACAGATACAAAGAATATCTGAGAAGCTATCTCAGATTAAAGATGAATAAAGAGATAAAAGAGTTAATTATAATGAAAGATCCTGGACTGAATCCTAAATCGAGGAAAGAAAAGAACCGCCATAAAAGACATTCCTGAAATAACTGCAAAATTTATAGCTGGTATGTATATTAAAGTACTGATTCATTATTACATTCTGACTTTGATAACTGCATCCTATGATTATGAAACAGAATGTCCTTGTTCTTAGGAAATTCGTTCTCAAATATTCAGAGGTAAGGGGGCATCATGTCTACAATAGAGGACATGATGTCTACAACTAACATGCAAATTTCAGAAAGAAAAATATTTGAGAAATTATAAAGCAAATATGGAAAAAATTAATTATTGGTGAATCTGGGTGAACAAGTATATATATGCATTCTTTATAGTTTTATTAAAAATCTTTAAAGTCTGAATTTTTATCAAAATAAAATATTAAAAAATGAAAACAAATGAAGGCTTCTGGAGTAATGATAATGTCCTGTTTATTCATATATCTGCCAGTTACATGATGTGCTCAGTTTGCGAAAATTTATCAAGTTGTACATTCATGACATATGAAAACTCTTAATGATTCAGCAAAACATTTATATTAAATATTAACATTTTACTTAAAAGTATGCCAATTTGCTGGCCTGTACATACAGTAAAACAAATTTGACTGGATCTATACTGTTGGAACTCAACCAAGAATTAGGAGAAGTGCATGCAAGTTGCAGCGCTCCAAAATCGGGCGACTACAGACTATCTACTGTTAAAAGAACATACGAGATGTGAACAGTTCCCAGGAATGTGTTGTTTTAATTTGTCTGATTTTTCTCGAAATATTCAAATTCAGTTAGACAATATCCATCATATCATTGATAAGTTTTCACAAATGCCTAGGGTGCCTAACTGGTTTTCTTGGTTTCACTGGATATGGCTGGTAATTGTAGGTCTGCTTTGGTTATGTAGCTGTATTCCTATTACGTTAATGTGTGCACGCAATTTAATTAGTAATTTAAAACCTATACACGCTTATGTCACACTACAAGAAGATATGTCAAAGAAATACAATCTTCCCATGTTTTCTTCCATCTGCTGCTTCTATAGCTTCTCTTTTTACTTCATAATTACAACCTCTAAGTAGAATTCATGCCTCATATCGAAATTACCGAGTATCATAATTCTTCCAAGTGGTAAAGACACCTCAAGACAAATGCTGGGCATAGAAGCCACAGGGCATAAATCTGCAAAGAAGTAAAAAGCTAACCTTTTCAAACAATATTGCTTCTCTCTCACTTACCAACTTTACATTTCCCTGTATGGCCCCAGAAGATGACTGGTTAGCCAGAATGGGTAAGATTCCTCAAGGGAGGAGCAACCTAAGAGGCACAGTCGCAGGGGGGCCATCAGGTGAGAAATTGGGGATCAACAGAGGTGAGGCTTAGAACCTCACCTCCCCTGTTTTGAGAGAAATCTTCTGCATCCGTGGATGTTCTGTTGCCCTTGTCTAGCTTGGATTAATACTTAGTCTATAGGCACACACCTGATCATCTACATTTGCCCTCTTACAGCACTAAATTATGTTTTCTATCTTTATCTTGCATCTACCTACCACTTCAGCATTTCATTAATAATAATAATAATAATAATAATAATAAGGGAGAAATGTGGGATTCACATATAAATCAAGTAAAAAAATCAAACGAATAATCATATTTGACCTGATTGTTTATAGTTCATGATGCGTGATCAAAACCAAAAGTTCCTGTGATATGCCTGCCCTTGCACTGTTCACCATGTAAGAACTTAATTCACTATGTAAGAACTTGTTCACCATGAAAGAACTTGTTCGTTATGCTTCAGAAGATTGGAGACTGTTGAGAATTAGGCTTGGGGTTGATTAATGATTGTGCATTGAGTACCCTATACAGAATTTTATTGTTGTTAACGACCATTTGATCAATAAATATGAGAGATGCCCTCTCAAAAAAAAAGAAAGTATGCCAATTTGCAGGGTAGCAGAAGATGTCAGAAACTTGACTGATAAAGTACAAAGAACCATAAATAAAAACATACCAGTAGGAATCTATCTATACTTAGTAAGGCAATCTAAGATTTTGAACAATGGAAATACAGTGGTTAGGTCAGTAGACAGCTCATTACTGCCAACTGTTTGTCATCCAGTCTCTCTTAGGTCTTAAATGACATTACTGTTTAGATTCCCTAAAGTCAATAAAATTTTACTGTGAAAGATATCTCTCTAATCTCCTTAAATAAATAGAATAAAACAGAAAAAACACTAATATATATTTAGGGCAATACTTCACAATAAACAAAAAGTACTTTTATTCAAGTGAAGATGAATCCAGAAAATAAACTTTCCTGTTCTTTATATTCAAAAGTGACAGTACTGACATACTAGGTATGTTTCTATAGGCTGTCGTATAACTGTGCATTTTTTTTAGTAGTAGTGATAGATCTGCTAATTCTTCTATCACTTTTTTACCTCCTTTTTACTGCTCCTTACCCACCACTATCCTCCCATCTCTCCATCTCTCCTCAGATACAGGGTTGTCCATCATTATAATCACTGTGTCAAGTACCGTCTCACCTTCCTTGCCCTCTAATTACTCCTCATGAACACCAACAAGGGCAGAAGAAACACACGCAAGCAAGATGACCTATCTCATTTTAAACCCCTGTCCATTAACCTCAAGAAAAGATGGAAATGCAGTCTCTCTTCATGTGTTACCAATTTTTCACTCTACTAACTCATACCCATCAGCGTATAAAAATGCTGTAATTTCTCTCATCTTGAAAAAAAGCCTTCTCCTGACTTCACAGTTCCCTCCAGGTACTTTGAGCCAGTAATCCTCTACCTTTCCCCTGGTTTATGAACATACCTCTAAATGACTATTTCAGACTTTCTCCTCCCTTTTCGAACATTCAACATTCCCTTCCACTATCCTCTCTTTCACCAGGTAAGTCTGCACCCCATGTGCTAGGGAAAACTGAAGCAATCAGAAGGTAACTTTTAGCTGTATCCATCACTATTACCTACCACCCACCTTCACCCTTCACCATATCTTGCCTTCCGTCCTGTTACTGAGTCAATGTTCCCTGTTCCTCCCTAAGGCTAAACCTCTACTTGCATATCACATCCCATTCCTTCTGGCCTAAGGACATTGCTCTAACAACTGTCACTTCTTTCATCAATTTTCCCCTCTGGAACTCATTCTTGTAAGTATACAAACATGCTGTAATTTCTTTCATTTTGGAAAGAAACTTCCCCCAGCCCTATTTCCCTATCCTTTCAAAAGGAAAGAAAAAAGTCCTAAAAATAATTATCTATATTGTCTCATCCTAATTTCTTTCCTCCCATTCTCTCTTGAATCCATTCCAAAAAGTATTTTTTTAATCTTTATCTTATGCCACTAAAAATAATCCTAGTCAGGATCACCAACAACCTCTGTATTTTAAAATCCAAGAGTCATTCTCAGTCTTCTTCCTGACCAATTAGTATTACCTGATAGTTAATCACTCCTCCTACTTTCAAACACATCCTTCTCAAGATATACACTGGATGTTCTTCCTACTGTTCTCTCTCCTCTTACTGGTTCATTCTAATTTTTCTGACCTGTAAGAAAGTGTCCCAAGGCTCTGTCCTGTTACCACTTCTCTATCAGTATTACCTCTTCTACAACCTAATTCAGTTTCACAGCTTCACTTAAATACTAATACTACTTAAATAACAATTACTCCCAAATTTGTATCTCTAGCCCATAACTTTCCCCTGTAGTCCAGACCCATTATACATCCACTTCGTAAGCAAAAATTTGCTACTTGTTTTCTAATAGGCATCTCAATTTCATTGTCCAAAACTGAACTCTTGAGCTTCTCTTTCCAAAAATCACTCCTCCTGCAGTCTTAATCTCAGATGTAAAAGACCTTTTTTACATCTTCTGAAATGTATTCAGCATCTGACACTCACCATTTGTACCACTACCACCTTGGTCCAAGTTATCATTACCTCTTGCCTAGATAATTATTAGAAACTCCAAACTGGCCTCCTAGTTTTGCCTGTAATCACTCTATAGTCTGATCTTAATAAACAGTTAAATTGAGACTTAAAAAATTTAATCTGAAGCAGATTATTTTCATTCTTTTGATCAAAATCTGACAGTGAATTCCCATTTATTTCAGTTATAGGAAAAGCCAAAATCCTTGTAATGGCACAATGCCCTATATAATCTGTACCAAGTTTAAAAAAAAAACAGTGGTGAAGGGGCGGAGGCAGGCAAAGTATAGAAAAACTACTACTGATTTTTAGCTAGTTTAATTTTGATAATAGCAAACATCAATAGAGCATTCAATATTTACGCACCATTGTTCTTAAACACTTAAAATAAATGATTCATTCCACTTAATAGACACAACTACCCGTGAAGGAAGTATTATTATATTTAACAGATCAGGAAATGGAAGAATAAGATTAGGGGATTTACTCAAGGACACATAGCTAGTAAGTAATATAGCCAAACTTGAGCCCCAGAAGTCTGGCTCTAGAGTCCAACCTCTTAACATTACTCTACACTGAAGTATACCATAAATTTAATGAATGAAAGTTGACCTCCTTTAAAGTATGAAAAAGTCAGAATCAGTATTCCTGAGCTACCGTACGTCTTAGTCAAACATTTTATGAGACTGCATTTAGCTTAAATATCACATTTGCAAATGTCCAAGAGTAGAAATTGTTAAGATGAGAAGAGACAGTCAAAACCCAAGATAGTTTTGTGACCTCTAATTTTACCTCAAAGTTTGAAGAACCTTTATCTTGTACCTTAACTACAAGCTCCCATAAGATCTCTTCCTGAATTTGTATATTATGAGATATAATCTCTTAGAGAATTCAAAATTGCAGAATAACAAAACTAGAAAACTATATAAAATAAATGTAAGCAAGTAACACAAAAGATAAATGATCTGGCTTAGAACTAGTAATAGATGGGTTACTGACTTGTTTAGGCCCAGAGAAGTAACTGTATAAGTCACCTTTATCTAACTCCAAGTTAAACCGCTGACGTCAAACTTCCCTAACCTTAGCATACCCTATCCCATTTCCTGGTAACAGGCTAACCATCTGTCAGGTTTAAGTCAAAAGTATATTTGCCAGTATATTTGCCTCTTACAACTTGTACCTTGTGGAATTCAACTGGGTATTATTACAACAAAATCAAAGAAAGAAAAGAAAATGGCTTTAGTTTGAGAGATTTTCCAGGCTAAAATGAACTAAATTAACTGAAATTAAACTAAAAATCAGTACAACATAACTTTAGGCCAAATTCAAATGTAGACACAAGTTCAATAATTCTTTATGTAAGAATAGTAAGCACAAGAAAACAACAGGACCATTGTTGCTACCACATCTCCTGAAGGTCAGAGTGTTGTCTCTATACATACATATCAACTGCATGATACCATGCTTCATTTCTTGCTTACCTAGTTTTTTTTTTTTTTAGATGGAGGAGCACCCAGGAAGGAGAATTCATTTTGTGCTAAATAAAGGAGAATGTTCCAGTTTTCTGCAGAACATTCAGAGCTTTTATACTTCAATAGCACTAATACAAGATGAAGAGACAAAGGCCTTCAATAAATAGAATTATAATTGTCTGACTAACCTGCTTGGTGGGAGTCCAGTCTTGAACAAAGAAGGAGGGGAAGTAAACTCAGCTTTTGTAGATGGAAGTGCTGTTTCCTTCTCCGAATTTCCAGTTCTTCCCTGCTGTACCTTAAAAAAAAGGGTTATTAGCTTACTTAACACTCAAACATAATACACTGAAGATGTTAAAATAAATCTGTAAATTCTGATTTGAAATTAAATAAGAAGAATGCTTCATTGCTGAATACTTACTAAAATTAACCTATTTTAGAACAGTATTACGTCAAAGATCCAAAAATGGATTATGGGATTAAAAAGTTCAACTATTAAAAAAGTTCACATTAATGTCACTTAAAAGTCCAATATACTGTAACTCAGGACTTTCATAAATTTCCTCAGATTACCACAAATGAGTCTAAGACACTTGGTTATGATTCCACATTTCATAGTTCAAGAAAGGCCTTGAAGACTTTTCCCCTTCTATGTTCATTACCCTTATCTAGGAAAACTAGACAGTGGCCATTTTATCATTCTTATAATTTTCTATTCAGACTGTGACTTGCTATAAAACAAATATTGACAAACAGCATCTACATTTCCATACCATTTCTCCTGTTTCCCCATCAGAGTCAACAGTTATCACCATCCTGTCAGTTCAGTACACCTAGAAGCTGAAGTCAGTCATCTGTCTCCTTAACTTCTTCTCCCTCTTCATGTACAGTTACAAAGCAGTCATCTATTTACTCCATAATTCCTTCCAGATTTGCCCACCCTTTCTGCTTCTAGCAGATCCTGAGTATGGTCCAGTCATACTCCTTTAGACTGGTGAAATACATTATGCGCTTTTGCTTTTACATTCACCTTCCTATCCTAAGATAATCATTAATTTATTAAAGTTGCCCTACATTTGAATAACATCACACCATTATTTTATGCCCTTTTAAATTCTATTCCTCTTGTTCAGTCTAAATTCAGCATCACTCTCCTTCCCCATAAACCAAAGGCCAAGACAATCTCAGACACCTTTACTTTGACATATTTAAACCACTGATTCAATTCCAGAAATCATCTACCTCTCAAATTATCATTAAATGAGTAAAAGAAACCCTTATTTATATATCTGAGCCATTACGGTGAGATCTCTTCTTAATATTGCCAAACCAATCCCCAACTGGTGCCTCCATTTAATTAGGGTTTTCAGATTGACATTATGTTTGAAAATGAGTTCCACTGCTTAAGAAAAAAAATGCATTTAAAAGGCACTTATCCTAATGAGGGATGATGAGGATCAGCATGAAAGACAGTAAGGACAGAAAAAAAGAAATGAATCTGACAGACACTTGGCAGGTCAACTGACAGAATGTGGTGATAGGGAAATAAACATGTTCATTCATGAACATTTATTAAATATCTTTTATGAGCAGTGATGAAATTCCACTCTGTTGGTCTAGGACATGAACAGACAATTCTCCAAAGAAGAAATTCAGATGGCCAACAGACACATGAAAAGATGTTCCACATCACTAATTATCAGGGAAATGCAAATAAAAACCACAATGAGGTATCACCTCACACCAGTTAGGATGGCAGTATCAGAAAGATTAAGAACAACAAATGTTGATGAGAACGTGGAGAAAGCAGAATCCTCCTACAGTGCTGTAAACTAATTCAACCATTGTGGAAAGCAATGTGGAGGTTCCTCAAAACTACAAATAGAAATACCGTTTGACCCGGGAATTCCACTCCTAGGAATTTACCCAAAGAATATAATTTCCCAGATTCAAAAAGACATATGCACCCCTATGTTTATTGAGGCACTATTTACAACAGCTGAGATATGGAAGCAACCTAAGTGTCCATCAGTAGATGAAAGGAATAAAGATGTGGTGCATACACACAATGGAATACTATTCAGCCATTAGAAAGAAACAAATCCTACAATTTGCAATAGCATGGATGGAGCTGGAGGATATTATGCTCAGTGAAATAAGCCAGGCAGAGAAAGACAAGTACCAAATGATTTCCCTCATTTGTGGAGTATAACAACGAAACAAAACTGAAGGAACAAAACAGCAACAGACTCACAAACTCCAAGAAGGAACCAACGATTACCAAAGGGGAGGAGTCGGGGAGGGTGGGTGAGGAGGGAGGGAGAAGGGGATTCAGGGGTATTATGATTGGCACACATGGTGTAGGTGGGACCAGGGGGAAGACAGTGTAGCACAGAGAAGGCAAATAGTGACTCTGTGGCATCTTACTACACTGATGGGCAGTGACTGCAACGGGGTATGGGGGGGACACGATAACAGGGGTGAATATAGGAACCACATTGTTTTTTCATGTGAAACCTTCATGAGTGCATATCAATAATACCTTAATAAAATAAATTTATTAAAAATAAATAAATAAATATCTATTATGTACCAGAAGCTGAAACTAGAGAGAAATACAACAAAAATCCTAGACCATGGGAAAAGACAGACATGCAGATATCCAGAGCAATACAATAAATGCTATGAAAAAAAAATACATGTATCTTTGGGATAAAAGATGCTATAAGAACACAGAAAAAAAATGAATAACTTTTCCTGGGGACGTAAGGAATACTCAAGAGTTGCTACTATGGTCTCAACTGTTCTGTTGAGCTCCAGTCATTCACACCCAATGTCTTACATGTCTAATAAACTTACCATGGCCAAAACAAAGCTTCTGACTTCCTCCTATTCACCAATCTAATCCTAAGTCTTCCACATGTTAAGTAAATGAAATGGCACCTTCATCTATCAAGTTGCTCAAAGGGAAAAAAAAAGGACCCTAGCAATTATCCAGTACATATGAACATCCTATCTCAACTTACAACAGATACCAAATTCAATCACTTATAATATGTCCACCCCCAGATCAAACCTACTACATCTCAACTGTTCTGCTATTAACATATCACTCTGCTTTGGTGTTAACTAAGATCCATCCTCTGTATACAGCCAAGCAATCTAACTGAAAGTTTAAGTCAACTCATTTATCTCCCCTGCTCAAAATTCTCCAATAGTTTTCCAATCAAAAAGAATAATATCTAAACTTATCATGGCATACGAGGATTTACATTGCATGGGCCCTATCTCTCTAATCTTGTTTTCCTCTATTCCTCCCCAACCTATCTTTAAGATGCCCAGTCACAATGGCCTTTTTTCTTATTCTTATATCATGTAAGGCCCTCCATGAAGGCTTTTCCACTAGATGTTCCTTCGGCTTGGAATATTCTCTCCCCAGATCTTCTCATGGCTACCTCCTTCGATTCATTCAAGTAATACTCAAATGTCTCTTTTTTGTTTGTTTGTTTAATTTTTTATTAAGGCATTATTGATATATTCTTATGGCGGTTTCACATGAAAAAACAATGTGTACTACATTTACCCACATTATCCAGTCCCTACCCATATCCCAATGCAGTCACTGTCCATCAGTGTAGTAAGATGCCACAGAGTCACTATTTGCCTTCTCTGTGCTACACTGTTCTCCCCGTGATCCCCCCACACCATGTGTACTAAACATAATACCCCTCAATCCCCTTCTCCCTCCCTTCCCACCCGCCCTTCCACATCCTTCCCCTTTGGTAACCACTAGTTCCTCCTTGGAGTCTCTGAGTCTGCTGCTATTTTGTTCCTTCAGTTTTGCTTCGTTGTTATACTCCACAAATGAGGGAATTCATTTGGCACTTGTCTTTCTCCACCTGGCTTATTTCACTGAGCTTAATGTCCTCCAGCTCCATCCATTTTGTTGCAAATGGTAAGATTTGTTTCTTTCTTATGGCTGAATAGTATTCCATGGTGTATATGTACCACCTCTTCTTTATCCATTCATCTATGGATGGACACTTAGGTTGCTTCCATATCGTGGCTATTGTAAATAGTGCTGCGATAAACATAGGGGTGCTTGTGTCTTTTTGAATCTGAGAAGTCGTATTCCCTGGGTAAATTCCAAGGAGTGGGATTCCTGGGTCAAACGGTATTTCTATTTTTAGTTTTTTGAGGAACCTACATATTGCTTTCCACAATTGTTGAACTAGTTTACATTCCCACCAGCAGTGTGGGAGGGTTCCCCTTTCTCTGCATCCTCGCCAGCATTTGTTGTTCTTAGTCTTTTTGATGTTAGCCATCCTTACTAGTGTGAGGTGATTATCTCATTGTGGTTTTAATTTGCATTTCCCTGATGATTAGTGATATGGAGCATCTTTTCATGCGTGTGTTGGCCATCTGAATTTCTTCTTTGGAGAACTGTCTCTTCATATCCTCTGCCCATTTGTTAATCGGGTCATCAAACAAATGTCTCTTTTGAGTGGTCTTCCCTGACTGCTCCTGATCTCTATATATTATCATTTTTTATCATCTTCATAGAATTCCTCATAGTATCTTTATCTGACATTATCGGATTTTGTTGCACATTCATTGTCTGCTGCTACTACAACATAGAATCTTTGAAAACGTGGATGCTGTCCACTTTATATCTGTGTTCCAAGTGCCTGGCATGCAGTAAGTGCTTGATATTTATTATTTGACTGACTTTGGAACTCAGCTTAAATAGTACTTCAAAGTCTTTCACAGGACATGGAATTTATAGCTACATAATTTTTGGCATGATTATCGTAATTAGTATCACTCTCCCCCTTTACGTCAGATAAACTCTAAGACCATACATACCTAAGTCTAGAATACTCACATCCTCTCCTCACCTAAGCCTAAGACACTCCCTATAATAGTCAATGATCAATTAAAAACTGGGAAGTGGGACTGGAGAATGGTCGAAGAAGAAAAGTGGGAGAGTAAAAGAAAAAAAAAGAGGGAAGAGAGCACAGGCAATAGAGTATTTACAATAGGGGAAGTGAGAAAAGTTATCAAAAAGAGTACATTTTTAAACATATGAAAATTACTTTTTCTTAATTTAGTTTTCTTTCCTCAATTTCTTCATGGTATACTCATTACATTAAACAATTCTGAAAATCCTTACCATTTTAGCAATCCTCCTAATCAACCTGCATTATCCACTTGTCTTCAGATGCTGTACCCAGGATTACAGAGTCAATATCTATTTCATCAGAACATGAGACTATTTTTTCACATGATCTAATCTTTTAAGAAATGACTAATGCACGATGACTGATTCTCTAAAAACAAATTCATATAGTATCTTACAGATCCAAACAAAAGTTAACTGCAGTCTGTAACCTTAAGAAGCTAAATATTTATGCAGACTGTGCTACCACTGTACCACAACTTAAAATTATTTGGTGAAATTACTTCAACTGCCCTTTATAGCATTATTATAAAAGTTTAACACTACAAAGTGTCTAGAAAGAAATTTGTCAAGTAAATTATGGTATACCCAAAGAATGGATTATGTAACTATTTAAAGTGTTATTTATCAAAAACTTTAAAAACCTAGGAAAACATTTACCATATAATGTTGAGGTAAAAAAAGGGAAAGTGGAAAACAAGTTATCATAACTTTGTTTCAACCCACAAAAACAAGAAGATTGGGAATGCAATAAAATGTAGGACTTTGAAAGTAGATGAAAAAATTACAACTGACTTGAGCAGACAAAATAATCTGAATCCTAAGTCAGCAATGAGAAAGCAAAGACATTAATTTTCATGGTAGGACCCAAAAATGTTCAGGAATTGACAATTTTGGCTCCCAGAACATTTGAATCAGCTAAGTATGAACCCTCTACACAGCATACAGGAATCTCTTTGAAAAGTCATATTACTACCAAAAATTATTACTGATTACATAGCCCTTCAGTAAAGCCTACATTCAGCAAGTTCTATTTACAGAAATAGAGCTTCCAATCACCTTCTCAGAGGCCTACTCCCTCATAAGCGAATGGCCAAAATCAACAAACTTTTGAGAAAAGTCAAAGTCAAAAGTCAAAAACAACAAACTTAAAAACTTGACTTGGTGAAAACACACTGCAGGAAAAGAAAACCTAACAGAAACTAACAACCTATCATAATATCAGTATCTTTCAAGAAAAAGGGAGAAAAATACATCACTGCATACATGAACAAGAGTAAGACGGTATGGTTAAATACTGAAGAAAAATCTTGAACATTAAAAATATAACAGTAGAAGCTGAAAAGGTGAAGAGAAGAGCTGTAAAGTTGAAGAAATCTCCCAGATAATGGAAGACAGAGAAATTGAAAGTGAAAGAAAGATTAAGAAAATTTAAGGACCAGCGTAAGAGGTCCAATATTTGAAAAGTAAGTCCAGAAGAAAGAAGCAGAGAAAAAGTAAAAATTCAAAGAAGAAAATAATAGAAGGATATAATTTTAAAAAAAGAGTAAGAAAAACACTCCTTCAGAAGTGAAAGAGACATACCTCCAGATTAAGACGGTACAGATGAACACCTTGGGACAATGGAGGTAATAGATACACACAGTTCTGAAATTTTAGAACACTGGTGACAAAACTTACACATAGTTCCATAGAAGAAAAAGAATCATTATGCAAGTGTGCAACGTGCGTGTACATAGCCACATAAAAATGACAAGACTAGTCAATTTTTTTCTTACATATACACTTTACCCATTCCCACTACTCACTCCTCTTGCCTTTCAGCCAACCAAATTATACAATTACATAATTATTTTTGCATTCAATCAAGTAATTTTACTTTATGCCTATTAAACTTGACCTCCTTTTACTTCACTAAAAAACAAAATACCCTTATTTATATCACAATATACAAAATACTTTAAGAATGTCAAAATATTATAATAATCATTGAGACACTATAATAAACACACAGGGGTTCATCTGCACTATTTTATCTCCATGTTAGTATGCTTGAAAATTTACCTAGTGAAAAGTAAAAATAAAAAAGTTACTTTAAAGAGACTGATAAGATTGTCTCTCACTTGATTTAGGATAAAAAATATCTTTGCAGTAGATATGAAAAGAACTTAAATTATGATTCTTAAATGTGCTCCTTTGTCCATTCACCAGTTCATTTTGTTCCAACAGGACAGCAACAGTATGGTTTCTGGATCTCTGTTCTCCCACTTACATTCTAGAGCTTACCCTGGTGCCAGTACCTTTTGTAAAAAACAGAATCATGCTATTCTCCTACTCAAAAACTTTCAAATGGCTTCTTCTTGCCTACACAAATACCTGCAGGCTGGTTTAAGATTAAGGACTTTCTCATCATAGCCCCATTTCTACTATTTCTAGACCTCTCTCATGTATCTCTCATCCACCCTCTCTTTCATGCTAGCTGGTCCTCCTCATATTGCTCTCAATGCCTTATAATGTTCTATATTTCCCTATCTTCTACTAATGAAATCTCATTCATCTTTCAATTATCACCTCCCATTTGAATACTTCTAGACTCCACAATATACGCTAACCCGCTCTCCTCTGAATTCCCTATGGCACTTTGTCAATACCACCAGCAGGACATCTGTCACAGTGTATTGCGGTTTAGTTCATAGACACAGGTCACTCAGATCATGAGCTCCTAGAATACAGAGACCCTGTCTTTCAATAGCATCTAGCACACACTGCAGGGCAAACTGGAGGTGCTCAGATTTAACAAGAAAATTGCAGAAGCTTTTTTCCTTTTATCTCTTTCTCCTAACAATTCCAGTTCAAAAGTAGGTGAATAAGAGCTTTAACTTTCTTTTCTTCAACCACACCACACACTGCTGCCAGAATAGTGTTACTTAGAAGTCACTTTCCAACTCACAAACAGCCTCCTCCAACTCATCTTCCTTGTTTGTAGGTTTTCTATAATTGTACAACATGAAAGCCTCTTCCATTCCTTTCCAAAAAGAACCCTGATTCAATAATGTAATTTCTTTAATAATCCTCTCATCTTCTACTCAATTAAAACATAACATTTCTTTGCACCAAGCCATCTTCTTGATCTTTAATACTTTTTATTCTCTTTTCCACAGTCAAGGCTCCGATTAAAATGGCATATGCTTCTCTATATTATTGTATCCTCTTTAGACTTAAAAACCCAAAGAAATCTGAACAAGGATATTTCTTATATTTATTTCAGTTGACAGAAACTTTTCTACAATTCAGTGTAAATCAAACTGCAGCCTGAAAATGCCACACATTCTCACATACCATTAGCTGTAGATTTTGAACATTATCAATAAAATAAATCCTAAAGAACACATAAAAAATGTTAACTACCCACATATATTAAAGTACATACCCTATTCCCAAATGAGCTATTTCTAACAGATAAGCAGTATTAAAAACATATTATCAAGGCGAGAGAAACCATTAGACCACACCTATCAAATTCAAGTTTTAATTAATTCAGAATCAAGTAAATCAGAACGAAACAATGACCTCCTCTCATATAACCAAGACAGTTCCAAATAATTTTTCAACAGATAGTATGTATATGAAAACTCAACCACAACAAACTACTTTCAATAAGAGACCAGCCCCTAGGAGTTTCTTTTTATTCTTTAGAAGTCTGCCCAAATAGATGAAGTATACAGAGGCTGGCAGTTCACAAAAGCAGTTCTTATTTCTGTTAGAAGAAAATAAAAAGCACCACTGCTTATGAACTATTCATCAGCAAGGCAACTTCTCTATCTATTCATTTTAATGATGTATAACAATATATTCAATGACTAAATAAGTAGATACCATCAAAAAGAACCTGATGACCATTTAAAATAGGACAGACATCATCATGTACTTTCAAAAGATTTATAGCAGAACAAGAACCAAATACTTACCCAAAGTAGGATGTAAACTAAAATTAAATTCTCTACACAGAACTGTGTCTAGCAGAGTGGCTACATCTGTGGATATAGGGCATACATTGCCTACGGCAGTATTTTGGTGGACAGTGCTACAGTCCCAAAGGAGTCACAGAAAAGTTGCTGCCCACAAAAGTTACCTGAGTACATACACCCTAATCTAAAAGCCACTCTCAGTCTTCATTCCAGTGTCACAGAATACAAGAATCAAGAATTAAGGTGAAGAAGAGTACACAATCAGGATTTCAAGAAAAGTTTACAGGTTGCTGTGTTGCACAAACATGAAAATACATTATTCTTTGGACAGGGTCTGTGGTCATACAGAATGAATGGAGAAGCCACACTTGACACCAAAATGGAAGTATCAACCTCCAAGTCCCTCACTAAACCTACTCCTTCCCAGCATGAATTTTAAGAATCAATGGCTTAATCTTATTCTGTTGAGTCTTTTTCTAAGGAACTCTCAAAGAATGCCTAAGATTCTTGCCTTACCTTAAAGACATCACACCAATGATTTTAGTGTCATACAGATAATAGAGTAGTATGCCATCTTCCTTAAAATATTTTTATAAGAAAATTAAGTCTCCAATTCTGATAGATTACAACATGATCTATAATGAGAGCTTAGCTTGTTGGCATGAACCTGCATATCCTACAAACACATACTATGATAAAATAAAATCACAACAACATAAAGCACAATAGTTTTACTTGGCATTTGTTAGTAAATAGGCTGTAAATTCACATGCTTGCAAAAGTGGAGATAAAACAACAATCAGCAAATTTGTAAGTCACCAGGAAGCTGAAGGTTTGGAAAAAAGGTAGCTATTTCCACTTTAATCTCATCCCTTGAGTAGTGGTATGGGAGCAGACTCAAGAACAAAAAATGAGAGCAACCAAGGATAATTTACTAAAATTCACCTTAAAAAGATTGAATCTGCCATCTTGGATCTCTGCACCTGGTGTAACTTCCATAGTACAGTCTTCGGCCTAAGTTAAATAACATATTCCCCATTAAGATACCACATAATTTTTAATTGATAGGCCATATAAAGACAAACTAGCTGTGGCTAGTCTGGCTTTAAACTAAGAACATCAGGTAATCATTAATATGAAACACTGAAAGGGAAGGGCAAAAACATACACAGTAAAGAGGATGGAATTTTTAAGCTGTCTTATAGCATTTAACCACCTTGATAGGGAAAAAGTGATTTATTTGGGGAATAAAATTGGGATTGTAGAAAAGGCTTAGTTTTTTGGAATATTTACTAATTACCGTAATTTTATTTGTAGTAGAGGTAACCGGTATAACTTCAAGTCCCATTCGTATCCTTTTTTGTTTTTCACAGTAAGCTTTCCAGGTATCTTCATTAAACCCATAATTAAAATAATCGGAAAGATCAGCACCTAAAGATAGAATAGGCTTTTAGTGCACAAATATATTTTTTCATTTCATGCAGCATATGAAATATAGTAAGCCATAAAAACATAAATTTAAAGTCTTACAACCCCTTCTAAATTTTAACAAGTTCTTCCAATTACCAACATAAAGAAACAACTACCAAAAATTTGATCAAAATTATTTCCTTTAGAAATAGCATTATAATAAAATATGTAAGTCTACTTTCATATAATACAGGTCATTATTACTTGTCATGTGTTTTAGATAACAAAAATGACATTAGAAAAATTATATTCTATTGATGCTCAAGAATACTTTAAATGACTTTATTCTAAAAATGTTTGGAATCATATAATCCATAATAATCTTACCAGGTTTACGCCATGGTTTATCTTCAAAAGAATCCAAATCCACTTCTAAGAGTGGAACTCCATTAATGCTTCCAGGTGCATCAAGGTCTACCCCTTTGACTTTTGTTCCTATTTCATAAAGTTACAAAATGGTGAAGGAGCTACATTAGCAAGAAGTTGAGATACCAAACAGAACACATTGGCACCTTTTTACAATTGCTAGCACTAAAAATGGCAAAGGTTTCAAACAAAGTATTAATGTTTACCATAAATAAAAGGTGAGGTCAAATTTTTTGGTGTAGCTGTAAAATTCAAGTGGATAGAAAAATTAGGGACTTGTTACTTACAAGCAATCCCTGCACCAAGATTATGTCATTAACTTCCAAGTTTTACATCACTGTTTTTGTAGTCTCTGAGCTAAGAAAGGTATTTACCTTTCGTGAAGACTTGTAAAACAAACAAGTAAAAAAAGACCTCAACTATGTGACAGGAAGCTTGTGTGGCCCACACAGACTAAAATGTTTATTATCTAGCCCTTTACAGGAAAAGTTTGCCCATCTCTGTAACATATGGTCAAAAACTGCTCTTCTTAATTGAGCTGCAAATGAAATCGCTATTTAACAATTTAATAACAATTAATTACAAGTGATTAAAATTTATTTATGACCTATTCAGAAATATCTTTTATTTTCCTATGGATGTGGTAGCAAATACAAATTTTACCTGTAGTTCCATAAACTCGTCCTCCTGTCTTGATGTTAAGATTTACAGGTGCTGTACCATAACTCCTATAAACAAAATAATAGAGATTATTTTAAGAAACTTAAAAAGCAATATATTCCATGTGTATAATAATTTATACACCCACATATTAACTGGATAGACTAAAACTGACTCATTTTAGAAAATGTTTTAATTTTAAGTTTGTCATTTGCTCAATGAAAGATAAAAACACAGTTTTTAAAAGACTGATTTTCCATTTCAAAAACTCACCTGCCACTGACTCAATATCACACTGTAGCAAACTTCACAGGAAATTTGACAAGGAGGAAAACAACAGTTCACACACCTTGTCTTCATTTCCTCGCCTCCTAGTTAGTCAACATATAGCAATTCTACTAGAATGGCATTTTTCCACTTTGTTCCCAAATCCAGTGACTTCCTTTTAGTCCTTCCTGCATTTGATGTTGTTGATAAACCTTCTTTCAACTATCCATGGAGTACTTTTGTCCATAAAATAAATACATTTACATTAAATTCAAAAATAAATATAGAGTGAAAGCAGAACAGTATTTGGTGGTGTCTGGTGGTTAATGATAGAGAGGATACAAGAGGGAAGTTTTTAGAATACTAGTCATGTTCTATATCTTGACCTGAATGGTGGCTACATGAATGTATACACTTGAAAAAATTACTGAGCTACATTTTTTAAAATGTACTGTAATACATATATGCTAGAGAAAAAAATATATAAAATCAGGAGTCAGGTAGACCCATGTTCAAATACAAGTTTAGTCAATTATTGGTTGTGTAACTTTAGCCAAATTACTTAAGACCCCATGGACTGTGTATAAATTTTCTGTAAAATGGGTTTACAGAGAGTTCCCTACTTTTTAATACAATACACCCTTGATTATAAGTAGGAAATTCAAATATAATAACCAAAACATTTAACATTTTGGGGGAGGTTAGGGAGAAGGAGTCAGAAGGGAGTAGGTAAGGAAGAAGGCTCAATTCCCAAGAGCAAAAAGATATTAGTAAGACCTCTCAAGTTATAGACTATGTTTTCAATGATTTTTCTCACATTATATTCATATAATTTAATTTGGTTCTTTATCCTCACAAGTTCAGCCAACCGGACTTGTAAAAATTCACTACTTTTGCTCTGCCAAATAAGTCCCATTGTTAGTCTCCAATGTGCTAAATTTATGAGACCTAGGTTATTCACTTAACACTATCATTTTTCTGTTTTCTGCTTTAAAAACAAATAAGGATAAATGCAATAAAATAGCGAAATAATTGTGTAAAGTCCACTGCTACAAAAGCAGGCCCAAATTAAACTGTTACTGTCAGGCAGTATTATTATTACCATCTTGAAATGTTTAATCAGCTAATTGACTAATTGATTTAATAAACACTTGAGCACCTACACCAGATACAGTTCTATGGTAAGGAGAAAGAATGAGGACTGGACAAATACGGTTCCTGTCCCATGATACCGACATTTAAACAATCTAAATTAAGCAAAAGCACTTTTGGGCTATCTATATATGATGTACAAAGGTTCTAGCTAAAGCCAAGTGTACAAATATCAAGGACTGTCTCTAAATGGTGTTCTTACAGAACTGCTAAAGGATATTCTTAAAAGGCTTAGCTGTAAGTTCAATAAATGAACTTCTTTGTCTCTCACTCAGCTATTTTCCCTTCCCCGTATTGCCTTTTTTAAAAATAATTTTTCCTATTCAAAACCACCAAGCCTTCATATTCATTATGTGTAGAGAAGCTCAGCTGTTTGGAAAATTGCACTTAAGTCAATCTGATACAGTCTAATAGATTTCCATGAGGTTTCAGGTTGCTCTACGAACTAGAGCCAACAACACACTTGTGTGTGTAAGGAACTTCAAAGAAATGCATCAGAGTAATTAATTTTTTAATCTGCTTCTCCTGTATTACCCATGTATAGTAATATACATTATGTACACAATTAACTGCTCTAGAAACCTCTAAGTCACTGAGTCCTTTATCTTGCTCTCTACCCACAACCAACCAGTTACCCATGTTATTTCTATTTGTTATTCACTCAAACATATGTTATTTTTCCCCACCCATTCCTACACTACTGCTGCCGGCTTTGTTTGGACTATCATCTCAAATGGATAATTACATCAAATCTACTAGTCAATAAACATTTACCAACTATTTACTATGTAAGGCAATATAAAGAATAGGAAAATTCATAAACCAGTTTCTACTCTTGAAGAATTTAAAGTCTAAAGGTAATAAACATGTACAAACATAGCTACAATTCATGACACTGGAAACTGCTCTAAGAAATAAAGTTCAAATAAAGTACTATGGGAGTGTATGTGCATTTAACATTTGCATGCAACTCCTAGCAAAAAATTGCTCATATTAATTTAAAAGACCACCAGTTGCCTTAATTATACTCCATATTTGCAAACAGAATTTTATGTAACTACTTACTAAACATGCAATGATCATTCAATGATCATTATAGTCTTATATGATTAATGTTCTTTTTGAATAATGCAGTTGGCAAAGGCCTATTAGCATAAAGGTCTACTAGTATTATAAGCCTAACACTAATTATTTACTTCAAATAGGGATGAGGAGAACATCAAGAGTTATTACCCCTAATGTGAGCAGCTTAGTCTCTTTTTCACCCTGCTCCCTAAAAAGTTGCTAGGGTTTTAAAATTACACAGGCAGTCAATAGTATAATGCAAAATTGATGATGACAATAACTTATATAATGTTTGAAAAAAAATAGCTCTACTGGAGAAGACAACTACTCAGAAGTATTTACACATACACTGGTTGATCCCAGATAAGACTACTTAATGAACTCTTGTCCAATTAATGAAGTTTATTCCTAATACAATACACAAGCATCACATTATACATCCAATCTGACAAACAGAAAAAATACTGATCCATACTTTACCGACATAACAAAATCACAACCTGTACTTTTATTCCCTTCCAATCCTGTGAGATTATTTGCTCAATTAGTCAGTGTCAGTCCATTCACCTGATCCAGTTTTACAGACTGTAAAACTTAAAAGGTTAAAAAAGTTTAAAGCCTATCCTTTAAAGAGCCTATAGGATATTTGGAAAAAAAAAAAAACACTTTTGATATTGTTTTTATTGGACAAAAAGTTAAAAATCTACACTCAGGTTTGGTTAGGAAATAAAATGGAAGAACAACGCAGATGCAAACTGCGATTTATGTTTTCTAGCTTTAAAGAATTTGTAGTACTCAGCTCTATAAAAACACTTTGATTTCACGAATCAAAAACTGCTGCATCCATGTGATTTTTACCTATCTTTATGAAAGAAGTATTATCATGGTGAAATCACTTTTTATTATGATATAATTGATAAATAACATGCATTGATTTTATGTATAAGATAATGACGTACGTATAAATTATAAAATAACAACAGTAAGTTTAGTTGACATCCAGCACAACACCCAGTTATATTTTCTTCTTGTGGTGAAAACTTCTAAGATCCACTTTCTTGGAAACTTGTGAAATTTTAATAAGACTTCTTTTATATCATGGTACAATGTAAAAACAATGGAATCAATCATTAACAGTCTGACATAAGAGCACTACCTTTCATTCAGGCACACAATTGTTACTTAAAAATAACTTACCCATACTGTGGTGCTCCTGTTTTAATGTCTCCTATAGTGACATGAACATCATCCTCATCATCGTCACTGTCACTATCACTGTCATCTTCAGTCTCAGTCACTTTCTATAGCAACATGAATGATTAGAAAATACATTCAATAACCCATTTCAACATCTAATATGAGTAACTGAAAAAGTAACCACTCTGCATTTTTTGAGCTACAATTTTAGAGAAAAAGGTTACAAGCTCATAGTCAGTACCTATTTCAACTTACTTATAACTTTGATCTTCTACGTGATAAAAAGGGGTAAAAATGTGAAACAGAACTTTCAGAATCATTGTTTTATAACACCTCACTTTTTTTCTATTTATAATTGCTCCTCTTCAAAGAATCTAAGGCAATGTACCATATATACAGAAGATAAAATTACAAAAATACGTACTTTGAGGAATTCTTGGCAAAAAGAACACAAAGAGGGAAAAAGAGGAAAACAATTTTATAGTCACAGTATCATGATTAAAAAGCACCAAATAGTTAAGGAGCAGCTCACTTATTATTGGCATTCATTTACACCTAGAAGAGGCCGTGCATGTGAAGGACTAAGGGATACTCTATTTCTGTGAGTAAAAGTAGGGTCATTTGCAAATATTTTGTTTTGGTTTTAATAGCTATTTTCTGCCTAGTCACATAATCATAAAAAAAGTAATTACCTAGGATAATACTTTGTAAACAAGTTCAAACATTTTTTGAGCAGAATAACAATTTCCCTTTTCAGGATTAGAATATTAAGTATTCACAGAACAAATGATACATTCACCCCCGCACATCCCCAAAACACCACTTTTAACTGACATGAAATCAGACTATCACTTACATTAGAGAAAGTTTGCCAAAAAACTGTAACAATCAAACTTGAGTGGCAGGATTCAATGTTTGTTTTTAAAATCATGCATGATCTCTTTAGCTGAGTTAAGACCATTCAGTCCCTTAAAGGCAACAGACATCAAGCCTTTGCCCATGCTCTATTTCATTTGAATCTCTCTCTTCTCAGTGTTTCTTCTCATCACCAATGCTTTTGATGGCACCAGATGGGGCAGGAAATACAAGAGGGGAACAGCTCACATAGACTACTGAAAGTCATGTTAAATTCTGGCTTTTTTCTTAAGTGAATAGGAAACTACCGATAGATTTTAAATAGGGAAGTAACTGGATTTGGAAGTCTTATTTTACCGGTTTAGGTACACCATTTTCAGCAGTTTCATCTTCAATTCCAGATGGAGGATTAGCACTACAAACAACAAAAAAAGTACATGTCTGGTATTACTTTTTCAGAAGCATAGATACAGTAGATGAATATTTTTCAGCTATCTCTGATAATTTCCAAAAATAGCTGTCTCCATCAGATGCTGAGAAAAAAGATGGTAAAAACTGCCAGCCTTACTCTGCTACTTCTAATTAATTTGCATAAAATACATACTCAACATTGGAAGTAGAATGGAACTGCCTCTACAGGTTGTTAATGATGTCAAATTTGCAATTTGACAGTGGGGTATAATTTGAGTTTTTTTTTTAACATTTTAAAACTATGCATCACTTACTTAACTTTACCTATGCTAAATCTTTATTGAACATCCACTATGTGCAAGGTATTACTGTAATTGCCAAGGGCTATATAACACAGTTTCCTCTTTTCCCTGGTGCCCAAAGAACTCAGATTTGTGATACAATCACATTGACTCTTTAAAAATCAGTTAACATACATGATTATTTCTGGTTTTCTGTTTCACCAATTTTATTGGATATATGCTCTGTGCAATATAAAATATTAATTTTAAGATTAAAAAATACATCTTCATGAAAGACTGCCTTCCAATTTGATACTAAAAAGGACCTCTGGACCATTTAGATGCATTAAAAAATGAATTACTTTAAGGCCAGTATACCTAAATTTACCATATTAAAGAACATTGATATATAACAATAAAACACTCTTATTCTCATGTGAAACTCAAGCATATGGGCATTAACTATCAAATAATACTTCTAGTACAATAATGTAATCAGTTTACTATATATTTAATAATTAATTTTGATCATGGGAATTAACCATTAATGTCATTTTACAGATAAGCAAACTGAAGTACAAAACAAGTAACTCACAATTAGTAACATTTCTAAGAAAAATGTCCAGATGTTGATACAATTCAAAGCCTTTTTCATTAGATTTTTGCTTATCTCTTCTAAATTTCACTTTCTGTAAAGCAATTCTATATAAGTCAATTTAAGTTGTACAATCCCCAAGTAACACAAAATTAAGGCTAAAAACTAAAAACCTTAATGTTAAATTTTCCTTGTTCTACTGTTTGACCAAAAATAAAATACTATAATTCTTCAGTACATTTACCTCCTGCTTAACTAAGCTTCTAAGGGCTGGAAACAAGGCCAGTTTGCTTTTTATATCACAAAACAGTAATTTTTTGGATAAACATGACAGAGTTGGAGACAGTGTAATTCAATGGTTAAGAACAGTGGTTTTTACAATGAACCAGTCATAAAGAAGCTGTGTCGGGAAAATTCTAATATCAAGAAATCAGCTAAGTTAGAGCAATGCAGTATCAAACTGGATACTAGAATGCAGGTTTGGCAGAGATCTCTTTCCCAACAGACTTTTAAAAGTTCTAATTCTCTACCACCATTAAAATGTTAGAAACATCATAAAATTAAAAGCCAATCTGGAAATATAAAATTTTAAAGGTAGACCTTTTCCATAGGATGATATAAACTTAACAGTTCTCCAAATAAAGTTTTAGGAAGAAATACAGGCACTTTGACAGTGACATTGTCTACCAGGGAATGTAGAAGGCTTCTCGCCAATAAATTGAGGAGCTAAAATTAAAGAATGTTCAAGCAGAAAATAAGCTTCTAGATTTGTACCCAAGAACTATTATTAACAAAAGTTAACGGAACATAGGTCATTCAAAAATATGTATTTGATTGTGAATCTGTACTGTTATCAATTATTTTCTTGACCAAAGGAAAAATGAGGTATGAAATTTTTTTGATTACTTTGCTAAATATACACAATTCTAAATCTTGCAGGTAACTGACAAGGTTAGGAACAGAGTTGGGATATATAAATTTTAAAACTAAATGGTAAAATTTCAGATGATATAGCAATGAATGAAAAAAAGTATTCCAATATAGGGCATATTTTTAAGAGAGGAAAAATACTCTAATTTCATCTCCTGAGCTATTGCTATTTCTATTTCCACTCTTCACCTCTCCCCTCTAGTCCCTTTTTGAAAATACAGGCATATCTCATTTTATTGCATCTTGAAGAATTCTCTTTTTTTAACAAATTGAAGGTTTGTGGCAACCCTGTTTGAGCAAGTCTATTGGCACCATTTTTCAAACAGCATTTGCTAAATTCTGGTAATTGTCATAGTATTTCAAACTTTTTCACTATTATATTTGTCATGGTGCTCTCTGATCAATGATCTTTGATATTACTATTGTAATTGTTTTGGGCACCATGAACTCCACCCACATAAGATGGTGAACTTAATAAATGTTGTATATATTCTAACTGTTCCCAAAGACTGGCTGTTCCCCCACCTCCCTCTTCTCAGGCTGTCCTATTCTCTAAAACACAACAAAATTGAAAACAGGTCAATAACTACAATGGCCTCTAAGTGTTAAAGTCAAGAGCCCCATATCTTTCACTTTAAATAAAATGCTAGAAATGATTTAAGTTTAGTGAGGAAGGCACGTTGAAAGCGATTAACAGGCCAAAAGCTAGGCTGCTTGCACCAAAGAATTAGCCAAGTTGTGACTGCAAGGGAAATAAATATTCTTGAAGGAAATTAAAAGTGCTACTCCAGTAAACACACAAATAAAAAAAAAGCGAAACAGCCTTATGGAGAAAGTCTTAGTGGTCTGGATAGAAGATCAAACCAGCCACAACATTCCCTTAAGCCAAGCCTAATCTAGAGTAAAGACCTAGCTATCTTCAATTCTATGAAGGCTGAGAGAGTTGAGGAAGCTGCACAGAAAAGTCTGAAGCTAGCGGAGGAAAGTTCTTGAGGTTTAAGGAAAGAAGCCGTCTCCATAACATAAAAGTACAAGGTAAAGCAGCAAGCACTGATGTTAAGCTGCCCCAAGTTATCCCCAAGATCTAGCTCAGATTATCAGGGTAGCTACACTAAAAAACAGATTTTTCAATGTAGATGAGACCTTACATGAAGTCAATGCTCACTGACCATTCTGAAAATCCTAAGGCCCTTAAAAATTATGCTTCATCAGCTCTGCCTGTGTCTAGAAATGGAACAACAAAGCTTGGATGACAGCACATCAGTACAACATAGGTTACTGTATATTTTAAGCCCACTCTTGAGACCTACTGCTCAGAAAAAAGATTCCTTTCAAAATATTACTGCTCATCAATGATGCATCTAGTCACCCAAGAGCTCTGACAGAGATGTGTAAGATTAATGAGGTGGTTTTCATGCCTCCTAATGTAACATCCATTCTGCAACCCATGGATCAAGTAGTCATTCTGACTTTCAAGTCTTACTATTTAAGAAATACATTTCATAAGGCTATAGTTGCCATAGGCAATGACTGCTCTGATGGAACTGAGCAAAGTGAATTGAAAACCTTCTGGAAAGGATTCACCATTCTAGATGCCATTTAGAACATGCACGGTTCATGGGAAGAAGTCGAAATATCAAGAGTCAGGACAAAGTTGATTTCAACCCTTATGAATGATTTTGAGGGGCTCAAGACTTCAGTGGAGACAGTAACTGCAGATGTGGTGGAAACAGCAAGAGAACTAGTACTAAAGTGCAGCCTACAGACATGACTGAACTGTTGCAATCTCATGATAAAACTTGGTCGGATGAGGAATTGCTTTTACAGATGTGCAAAGAATGTGGTTTCTTGAGATGGTGGTATTCCCCAGTAAAGACTGTTGAAATGACAACAAAGGATTTAGAGCATCACATAAACTTAGTTGATACAGCAGCAGCAAAGTTCTTGAGAGGACTGACTCCAATTCTGAAAGAAGTTTTACTGTAGGAAAAATGCTATCAAACAACATTGCATGGTACAAAGAAATTGTTCATTAAATGAAATCATGAATGGATGGCATACTTCATCTGTCTTATTTTAAGAAAATGCCTCCAACCTTCAGCAACTCTCACCCTGTCAGTCAGCAGCCACCAAGCCAAGACCCTCCACTAGCAAAGACAGACTCTCTAAAAGCTCAGGCAATGGTTAGCGTTTCTTCACAATGAAGTATTTTTAAATTAAGGCATGTAAGGTATTGTTTTTTAGACATAATGCTATTGCACACTTAACTGACTACAGTTTAAACATAACTTTATATGCACTGGGAAACCAATTCATTTGACTTATTTTATTGCGATGTTCACTTTACTGTGGTGCTCTGGAACTGAACCCGCAGTATCTCCAAGGTAAGCCTACTGTAACAGCTTTGAGATATAATTCTTATGCGACATAATCCACTCACTTGGTATGTGTAACTAAATAGTTTTTCATGTATTTACAGAATAGTGCAACAATTTCAACTATTTAATTCCAGCACATTTTCCTCACTCCATAAAGTATCCTTGAATATATTAACAGTCATTCCCAATTTTCCCTTTGTCCTCACTCTAGGCAGACACTGTCTCTATGAATTTACCTATACTATACATTTAATATAAATAGAATCATACCATATGCAGTTCTTTGTGACTGGCACCATTCATTTTGTATTGTGTTTTCAAGTTTTATCCATGTTGTAGCATGTCACTGTTTTATTTCATTTTACTGACATAGTATTTCACTGCATGGATATACCACATTTACCCATTTATTTGATGGACACTTAGGTTATTTCCCTTTTTTGGCTATTATGAACAATGCTGCTGTGAACATTCATAGATATGTTTTTGTGTGGATTTGCTTTCATTATATATACATATGTATGTATATGTATATGTACACACACACACACACACACACACACACAAATAAATAAGAGTGGAATTCCTGTCTCATATGGTAACTCTGTATTTAACCTTTTGAAGAATTGCCAGACTTTTTTGCCAAAGTAACTGCACCATTTTACAATCCACCACCAGTTTATGAGGGGTCCAATTTTCCAAATCCTCACCAACACCTGTTACTGTCTTTTTTATTATAGCCATCCTAGTGGGTGTGAAGTGGTACTTCCTCTACTTTTTAAACCCAAATATTCTCTAAAAACTCTTTATTTTAACCACCCCTCCATCTTACTTGGTCACTAAGGCATATCATCAGTAATGTCAGCATATCTATGTACCTGGATGTGAGTTGTTCTGAAATTTAGAGTAAGTTTCTGGCTCCCTGCAAACAACAATCTTAAAGTATAAAATAAGTAATCAATGTTAAACTCATTAATTCCACTCTGAATTTAAGTAACTGCAAAACATTGAAATTATAACCAAAGTGAATTACACCATCAAAAATACTAATTGTAAAAGCAGTAATTTAAGGAATTTTTTATTGAAAAAAATTTTAAGTTAAAACTTTTTTCTTAGTAGTTTAATGGCTACACTGTATATACTCCACTCTTGAGATCACTTAGGAGTAGAAAGTTACTTAATAGTGAAGCATATTTAAACCCTTACTTTTGTCAGGGTTTGTCCTCAAAGCTACTAGCAAATATAATTGGTAAGAATTGGTCCTGCGATAGCAAAAAACTCTAAAGGATTCAGTGGCTTCCAACTTTTTGTCAAAATACTCATAATCAAGTCAATAAATTGAAGTAATTTTGACAATTTGTTGGTGGAATCACTGTTTTGTCAAAACCACACAATCTGTCTAAGTATCAACAACAAATTTCACTAACCTGGCATTTTCTTCTTCTGGCCTTTCAACTTCATTTTCATCTACCAAAAAAAAATACACACATAAATAAATAAAATTAACAAACCATTCAAAGAAACCAGTATTATGAAAATCTGAAGTGATCATCACAAGCACTAACCTAGGTCCTTTGCCAAATCACTGTGCACATGCACGTCCCATGGGCCTATAAGCACATCCAAAGTTAGATCACCTTATAATGACTTAACAAGATATGTCTCTTATGAAAAAAAGTCAAACTTTACTTCTATAATATAAACTTAAGTATTAAAGATTTCAAGATCTTTGTAAAAGAAACCCTACACATTTATATTAATAATGCTAAATCTTGCCACCACAGATAATGATTTTACAAGTTTGTCAAAATCACATGAAGGAGCTACATGGTGCCCAAACGTGCACTTTTACTATGCTATTCTAAAAACGATTAAGAATATACATTTTAGGCAAGGAACAAATACTTTCAAATCTAGTTTTAGCAACACACAAGGAAGGGCTGTGACTTAATGGAAGTTAAAACCAGATGTAGAGTCCCTTTCAAAAGGGAAGTACAAGATGCTCTAAATTAATTTTGAGATAAAGATAATATACATAATATACATGAGATGCTACTGAAACTTTAAGGCTAAGAGACATGACGTACTTCTATGACGTGGGTTAAAAAGTCTCTTTTAAAAAAGAAAAACTTCACCTTAATACAGGAGACATTCATGGTTTTCTTTATGGGCCATAATGTATTCCATCTCTTTCTCTCTTACTTAATTATTTTTAAAGCACGACTTTCAGACAAGGAGGTACCCTTGCAGGTGCATTCCATACAAACTGACCATCAAGAAACAAGACGTTAGTTTTACAGCATCAACTTTATTTAGCTATTGTTACAGAGTGACTGTGACTGAAAGGGTCAGGAAGGGCATCCTACAGCCAAGGGGCAAGAAGAGACACACCAACAGAGCTCAGAGTCAACACAAAAAAACACAAGCAAACAGTGCGGAAGAGAGGCGGGGAAGCCCGGGAGAGGAGGAGGGCGACGCTGGGGCCTAGCCCCAGCCCCAGCCCCGGCGGGGGTGGATGCGTGTTGGGGGCGTGGGCTGGGCTGCAGGAGGCCGCGGCGGGGCCGGGGGAGGGGGAGGAAGGCGCGCCGCACTCCGCCCAAGTTAGGCCGAACAGGGATTCCGACCACAGGCCCAGGCGGCGGCGTAAGGGTCCGGGACGCCGGCCGTCTGCGAGCCGGGAGGGGAGGCGCGAGAGAACCCAAGAAAAAGAGAAGGGACAGGAAGTTCCGTACCGCCATAGAGCCACTCTTCCTCCTCATCCCCTCCGGTCCCGCTGCTCAGCTCCGACACCAGGCGCTCGACCTCGCCGGCCGACATGGCCGCCCCGAGTACAGTTGAAAGGCGGCGATCAACAGCCCCCTCCAACCCCTTCCCCAGCCTCGCTGCCGGGGTACGCGAGAGGGGCGCGAACCCGCCGGCAAGCGAACGAAAAAAGGGCGAAATTCAAATCCAGAGAAGGCAGCCGCGACGTAGGACGCTGCATACAAGACTCCGGCGGCGGCCGGCCTGCGCACGCGCCCCAGCACCCAAGCGGCGCGGCGTCTCTAAGTGGCTTCGCTTCCGCGGCAGCCACCTGCGCCAGTTTGCGCACGCGCCCCGTCATTGGCCCGCCCCTAATGGAATCCCGTTCTGCCTTTTCAGCCTGGCCTTCTCCGGCGGCGTCCTGCGTCAGTACGGTTCCCCTCCCCCCACCTTCTCTCTACCTACCTTGTTGCCTTCGCCGGCTGTAAGGCTATGGTTTTCTACTGCCCTTGACGCTCTCTCTTTAACTCTTTAATGTTTTTTTAATCTTCCGAAAGGCCTTGTTTCGTTCTTTAAATGTATCATCCTTGATACAGAATCGCTACCCTATCAGTCCCCTGTATGTAATTTAACAGAAGAAATCATAATTCATGCCCACTTACTTGAAAAATCTATTTTAACAGCACAGAAAAGCCAAACTAATGAATGACTAATGCAATCTTGTTAAAAGAACACACTATTGTTAAAGTCAAAGAACCCCTTATCCACTCTCGTCTTTTCCAGAAGTATCTCTTGGTTTCTGTTAGGTGTGAATCATTCTGAAATTATTTACTTCACAAGTCTTGTTTTTGGTGCGAGAACCTGAGGTTAACGAGCCTTAAAGAGTACAGCACTTGTAGTTATCATTTATGAGGATTGTTTGTTTTTTTACTCGACAGCATCTTGGAGAGTTTTTTAAGTCCTATGTCCATTTTTAAGTCCTTCCCAATATTTCATAAACTGTCACAAAATGTGTACGGCTATTTCCCTACTGATGTACATTTAGATTGCTTTCAACTTTTCACAACAAATGCAATGAAGAGTCTGGTGACTTATGACAGATTTGTACAAAATAGATAATAAAGTACATCCGGTTTTTATTTTAGTAGATAATACCACATTTTCAGGCTACTTTTGAACAAGCACATCTTTCAAGGAGAAGGTGACATAATGGGCCAAAACTAATGTTTTAGTTAACTATAACTATGTATTTACATAACCTCAGGTAATTAACCTCTCTTTGATTCAGTTTTCTCATCTATAATATGGGAAAGCTGAATTAGCTGATCTCTAAAGTCTCTCTTGGTTCTAAAGTTTTCAAACAGTACACTCACTTTTCACAGAAAGAAATCCATTTTAGTTTCACAAATCAACAGGTTTACTTGCTCTCTCGTTAGTAAATACTATTCTTTCATTTATTGAACAATTATTGGATATCAGCTGTTTAGGAACTTCGAAAATACAGATATGAGTAAAACATAGTATCAGTCCTTTAAAGAGTTCTCAACGTGCTATTCACTGCCAAGTTTAGTTATACCATTTAATTTCAAGATTGCTCATTCACCACATCAGTAAAATTGACACATTAAAATAAGACATTATATCCACTTCTTAGAAGGATACCAAAGCTAAAATAAGGTTTCAGATGTGGAAACATTTGACAGGTTGGATACAAGCTAGTGGTATTTTACAGTTTAGGCCTTTTATCCTTTGACTACCCTGAATAACTGCACATGTGTAGTTTTCCTTCTTTAGATACTTCAGTGAAGAATTCAGTCTGAAGTATTCACCTTCCTCTTCATACCGGCATACATTAACACTACTTTTTATACTGACAATTGTTTCTGGAAAATTATATCATCTCCTATTCACATATACACTGTTAAGTAAACTGCACACTAAGGGTAAGAACAAAATTTTTTTATTTCTATATTCATTAGACCCTTGTTATAATGTCAAGCACATGGAAAGTGCTTAATAAATCCGTAAGTGTTGATCATGCATATGGTGGACTTAGAAATGAGGAGAAGGGAGATATGCTTAATTTGATAAGGAACAGGAAACTATTGCCAACTTTCGACCAGAGAAGTACAAATCACACTTAAATAAGATAAATCTGATCATCTTAAACATATCATTTTAGCAGAAATTCATCTAACTCTAATATCTGAGAGCAAGAAATGGATTTTTTTTTCTGATTCTCCTTTTTGTCTACCCTGTCTTCCAAGATCATTTTATCCAGTCCTGTGATTTTTAATGCCATTTATGTGATATATCTTTAAGAGCCAATGACTACCAATTTTCTACCTACAATCTTCTCAGGCCAAGCTGCTTACTTGGAGGCATTACCTGCAGCCTCTCTTGGATATTGAATAGGCATGTCAAACTTATGCCCAAACAGAATTTATGAACAGAACTCCTCAAACTATCTTGTCCCATTCCCAAACTCCCTCAGGCTCCTCTTAGTATCAGTAACCACCATCCAACCAATTGTCCCAGTCAAAACCCAAAGAATCATTCTTCATTCCTCTCTTTCCCTCATGAGTTCATCTCACATCTATGAAAATCTAATAGCAAGACCTACTAGTTAGTTCTTCCTATAAGATATATACCACATCTTTCTTTCTCTTTCCGTCTCCACTGCCACACTGCAATTCAGCTAACATAAACCCTCCAGTGACTTCTTATTACACATAAAATGTTCTACTATGTGGCTTAAAGCCCCTTCATAATCTGGCAGCCCCTGGGGTTACATGTGGCTATACAGGTTGTGCATTGGATTCTCAGTCACTTTTTGCCAACTCTTCTAGAGTCATTCCTTTACATTCTCTGTGCTTATTCCATCCAAGTTTCTTTAGGCCTGAATCCCAACTCTGCAATGTAACTTTAAGTCCCTATCTTTGAACAATTACACACACATGTCTTAACATTCACAATTTTTAGCAGAAGGATATCTCTGTTCCTTCACTGAAACTGAAATCCAACTTCCCTCCAAGGACAGAACTTGTCCTCATCTTTCTCTGATTCCCAAATTACCAGCTTTCTCTCCTGCAATCTGTAATCATACATTCAACTGCACACTAGATGTTTCCACCTGGATGTCCTACAGTACCTTCAAAATAACAAGTCCCTACACCCATTAGGATGGTCACAATCAAGACAACAACAACAGAAAAGAACAAGAATATGGAGAAATTGGAACCCTTGTGCACTGTTTGTGGGAATATAAAATGGTACAGCAGCTATGGAAAACAGAAGGTCCTCAAAAAAAAAGTTAAAAAGGGAATTACAGTAAGATTCAGCAATTCCACTGCTGGGTACATATCCAAAAGAATTGAAAGCAGGGTGTCAAAGAGAAATTTGTATGCCTAAGTTTCTAGCAGCATTATTTGCAAAGGCTAAAAGGTGAAAGCAATCCAAATGCCCATTGACCCATGAATGGGTAAACAAAATGTGGTGAACACAATGGTATATACTATGGAATATTATTCAACCTGAAAAAAGGTAGTCTGACACATATTATAAGATGGATAAACCTTGAGAAGATTATGCTAATTGAAATAAGCCATTCACAAAATGACAAATACTGTATGGTTCCACATATACATGAGGTATCTAGAATAGTCAACTTACAGAAACAGAAAGAGTGCTGTTTGCTAGGGGTAGGGGAAAATGGGACTTGTTTAATGGATATAGAATTTTAGTTTCAAAAGATTAAAAACTTCTTTAGATTAAAAAGTTCTTTAGATCAAACAACGGTGTGAAAACACTTTACTGAAGTATGCACTCAAAAAATGGTTAAGATGGTAATTTCATGTATTTTTCCACAACTAAAAAAATGAGCAGATAAAAACATGTCCTAACTGAACTCAATATATATATTCTCCAATCTTCTATTCAGGTTTCCAAATCTCAGTGACTGTCACTTATCCAGTCACCCAGGCAGAAAACTGGGCATTAACCTGAAATTCACCCTCTGCCTCATTCTCTGCCAATCCACTCACCAAGATTTTTAACATCTCTTAATAAACCCCATGCACTGTGTATCCTCTTGGTATCCTTATCTAGTCTCACCCAGAGTTGTTGTTGTTAGTGTTTTCTAACGGCTCTCCCTGCCCTAAATCTTACTCCATTCAAATGAATTTCCATTTTGACTATTTTCCCCGCTAAACTGCAGATGTGAACACATTTTTTCCATTCCTAAAAATACTGTAATTATTCCCCGCTGGCTGCTACTATTTAGAATAGGAAAGACACCCTGATCTAGTCCCCTCTTTTCTAGTTTAGAGCTTCTGTGACTTATTGGGCCTCTCTTTATACTATGTACTCCAGCTACACTAAACTGTAGTTCCAGAGAGTATGTCGTATGGTTTCATGCCTCTACACCTTTGTTCATGCTGTGCTCTCTGTTTGGACTGCCAGGAATGCTCCTCCCCATTCTGTTCACCTGGCTAACAGCTGGTTTTCTTTGAAGGCAACTCAAAACTCATGTCCTATATGAAACTTCTTCTGACCACTTCCTTTTTTTTCCTTCAGTCAGTCAGAACTTATTTTTCCTCCTTTGTAACTCCTATGCGTTTTTTTTTTTAATCGTTGCTTCTGTAACATTCTATGGCACTTGCTGTTTTATATATACGGGTCTTTTATTTCAGATTCTTCTGAAGGCAAGCTGTGGCTTATTTCTATTTAGATCCTTAATGCCCAGCATTAACTTTCTGGAATATTGTACATGTTCATTAAGTTGGTATATTATTTATTACATGGATATGAGCTGAACTTTTATTTAACAAGGTTTACTGTATACCTGTTATTTTCTGGTATTGGGGACACCAAACCTCCAGTGTTACAGTCTAGCAGAACAGATATGTTAAAGCTTACCCCATGACATGGCAAGTAGTTAGCAAAGGTGAAAATTCTTCATGGATCAGGGAATATGCTTTAATTAACCATTGTATCTTTGGAGTCTAGCACAGTGTTTATACTTAGTGCTTAGTAAACAGTGGTTGAATGAATTGAAACTATGAAATATTCTGGGCTTGATCCTTTGACTTTATTGGGCAGGTATGTAATGTTCCAGGCCGGGGGTATATGGAAAGAAGTTGAGAAATCATGAAGGATTTGGGTGCCATTATAATGAGTCTGTCTGTATGTTATAGGCAATCGGGCCAGGAGAGGCTTTTAAGCAGGAAAATGGTAGGACCATCATGATTTTTAGGAAGAAACTGAATTGGAGAGAGAAGAGATGGAAAGGTGGGAAATGGTGGGAGGTCATTGCTATCAGTCTAGGTGTGTAACGATGGTGGTTTAAAGCACTGACAGCAAGAATGGATGGGGAGTAGGGGCTGGATTCTAGAATTTTGAAGCAGATGAAGATTTAGTGCCAATGAGAGGAGGGAAAGAAGTTGGAGAAAGTGAGAAAGAGACTAGGTTTGTTTTGTGAGACTTGTGTGCAAGAACGTATGTGTTAGCCATCTATAAACCACAAACATTACACAACAGTTGTTTTTTTAATCTTCTCTGCTATTCGGAGTTTTGATGGGTAAAATGGTTGTACTTTTAAAGAGATTGATTCAGATCCAAGGAAAACATCAACCTTCGGATTAGGTTTTATTCCTGAGATTTCTCAAGGACCAGGGAAAAGGTAACCTGAGCAGAGAGGAAGACTAAAAGATAACAGCTAAACTGTTCCATTCGCAGCCCCTTTTCTCCGGAGGCCACGGACCCCGCCCACTGCCCCCTCGCTTTCGTCATCCTTCCGCCAAGGGCTCCTCGCTAGCCAATCATGCTTCGTTTACATCATCACCGTGCGCCGACACCAGTAGAGTCAGAGGAGGCACCACGTGTACTGTGTTGACTGTCAAAGTCTCAGGGAGCCCAATTCCCGGAAGCTGTGAGTTCTGAGAGAGGTTCCTGGATTGCAGTGCCCCGAGTCTGTGAGTCCCCAACCATGAGTACCCCTGGCGTGCTGTCCTTTACCCAGCAAGGCTGGGAGCAGGTGCTGGCCAAAATGAAACGGGCTGTGGTCTACCTGGACGCCGCCTGCGCTGAGAGCCTGCACTGGGGCTGCGGATCGACGCGGCTCCTGGAGGCTGTGGGGGGTCCTGCGTGTTACCTGCGGGAGTTCGAGCCTGCCGCAGATGGTGGTGGAGCCGAGCAGCCCAAGGCGGTGTTTGTCCTAAGTTGTCTGATGAAAGGCCGGACCGTAGATATTCTGCGGGACATCATCTGCCGCAGCCACTTCCAATATTGTGTGGTGGTCACGGCTGTCAATCACGATGTCCACCTCACGGCTAATCATGTGCCGGCGGCGGCAGCGGCCGAGTTGGAAGGGCAGCAGCCTGTGTTCGAGCAACTGGAGGAGAAGCTGTGTGAGTGGATGGGCAACATGAACTACACCGCCGAGGTGCTGCATGTCCCGTTATTGCTCGCCCCTGCTGCTTCTCACCTTGCCTTAACTCCAGCCTTTGCTTCCCTTTTTCCACTGCTGCCTCAGGATGTGCATCTCCTTAAATGTGCCCGACCGGACAAGAAGAGGCTAGGAAACTTGGGTGAGGTGGATGCCACTGCTCTGACCCCAGAACTGCTGCTGCAGATCAGCTGCCTGGTGTCAGGCCTCAGTTCTCTGTGTGAGCATTTAGGGGTACGGGAGGAGTGTTTTGCTGTAGGTTCCCTCAGTCGGATCATCGCTGCAGATCTGGCCAATTATGCTCCTGCCAAGAACAGGAGGAAGACTGTGGCAGACAGGGCATCAGTGGTCTTTGTGGACAGAACTCTGGATCTCACAGGTGAGTGGGATTGCTGTGGAGGGCTTGAAAACCACTCTTCACAATATTGGGACATTCATTGATTCAGCATATATTTTATTGACCTTTTACTGTATGTCAGGTTGAGGATACAAAGAGGAACAGATGCAGATCTCACAGAGTCTATCTCGAGGGGTGATAAAGCTAAGCAAATTAGCAATTACAGTCAATTTTTTAAATACTGTGTGGGTAAAGACATCATCAGTATGCGCTTGTTAAACAACTGTGTCTAGTCTAAGAGATTGGAAAATAGAATGATGCTGACACTAGAGCTCACTGTGCACCTGGGAGACTTTTCCAAATGTGCAGATGCCAGCATTCACTATAATCTTTCATAAGAGGAGGGCTCTAGTTAGTTGAAGAGGTGTTAGCAGATGGCTCAGTGGAAGGAAAACTGTACAACAAAACATGAAATTATCATAGTTCAGTTTTAGGTTTTTTTAGTGAATGTTAGCAAATGAGGCTGAGCTTAAATATCACCAAAAAAAAAAGATAAAATGCAATTGTAGAAAATATTTTCAGATGTTTATTGATTTATTCTTAGCTCTCTAATTCTATTGAAGATTAGGTAATCTCAAATTCTAATAATGTATTAATTATTTACACACTTAAAGAACAAATATAACCCTTAAAATAGGTGAAGGAAAAGCATTTTTTCATACTTGACATGCGCATTTATTTTCAAAGGTCAACGTTATTGTTCTCTAATTAGGTAAATATAATGCTGCTAGTAGTATCGGCTGACCACACGCAAGTTCAGGGAGAATAATCAGGAATCTGACATTGTTAAGTATTCCCTTTAGGAGATCAAAAAAAAGTTCAATGAAGTGATTCAAAACCACGACATGTGTATTTGAGTTTTTGACTTTATAGGATTAAATTTCAGATCATAAAGTAAAATGTAAGATAAATAATAACATTAGATGTAAGCTTAATTATGGACTGGAAAAACCAGGTATCTAGTCTGTCAGTGTGATTTAAATATAAGTAATAATTGTAACCTCTCAGAACGCTTAGAGGATTAAAAAGCATCTGATGAGTATATATGCTTGTTGAGTTTTTTGAGTCCATGGCATAAACTGTTTATACTTACATTTCCTCATGCCTAAAATGTGGCATATTGTTTCATAATTAATAAAGGTCACATACTTTGTTGTCTGCACCACACCCCCCAACACTGGTGTCAAGCAGACTTTAATGCCCTGGTCATCCCGTGTCATAGCAACAATTCCTTTACATCTTAGGCATCTCTTTCTTGTATGTGCCTCTTTTCTGCATACAGAACAAACTTCTGCTCTCCAAATGCTTACAGTATGAAGCAGTCAAGGATGATTTGGAAAACAAGGGCACATGGGAAGACAAAGTTGCCATTCAATGCAATCATTTTTTTCTTTCTTTCTTTTAGAGCCTCCAGAGCTCCCTCCCCATACTCACCCCTTGGCTTTCTTGCTTTTATATCCCTAAGAAAATATAAGTCATCAGAAAACTTCTGTATCTTTCCACCAGCAAATCTACCAACTTTTCTATATCTATACCCACATGTTTTTCTTTCCTTACTCCATGTTAAGAGATGTACCATCCTGCTGCCATCTAATGCCAACTTTTTCACCTTTGCAGACTAGGCCCTCTTCCTTTTCATTTCTCCCATAGATTTACCTCTTTCAAATACCCTCCCTCTTTCCTAGATCATCACTTAAAAATAACCTTTTCTATTGGATTTTCCCCATCAACCTACAAACAGAATGAAACATTTCCTTTTTTGACCCCTTATGTTCCTCTAACTTCAGTTTCATTTTTTGCTCTATTTTATAACAAATTTGAAAAAGTTGTCTATACTTGCTGTCTCTACAATCATCGGCTACAATTTTCCCTTAACTCCTCTTCAGTTGTGTCTTTCTAACGTTTTTACCCCAGCACTCTTCCTCTGTCAAGACCATGAATGGCCTGAATATTGGTGAACCCCATGTTCAATTATCAGAATTAATTTTACTCAACCTCAGAGCAACATCTGACACAGCAGGGTAGAGGATGCAAATAGTTTAAAAAAAGATTAAGTATAGAAGATATACAGGTAATGCAGTTTCTTATATGAACCCATCAAAACATAAAACTGACATGTCGCTTGCTTACAATCCTCCTGTGGCCTCCCATCACACATACTATCAAATCCAAGTTCCTTACCATTGTTTGCAGGTACCTCTCCCACTGTGTTCCACTGATCACCCCTCACACATTATGCTCTGGGCACACTGGCCACCTTGCCATTCCTCAACATGTCAAGCATGTTCCAGCTTCAGGGCCTTTGATGTTCTTCTGCAGCTCAGCTTGTAAAGTTCTTCCTTAAGGTATCTATGTGCCTTTCTTGCTCGCTTCCTTTGAACCTCTGCTCAAATCCCTGATGCCCTTCTTTAGACACTCTCACACCTTAGCCTGATTTATTTGTCCTGGTCTTTGCTTAACATAACTCTCCTAATTGAGTGTCTATTGACTTTCTCCTCCAATTTGAATGGAAGTTCCTGAGGGGAGAGACTCTGCTTTGTTTACTATTTATTTAATTAGCACTGAGAAGAGTGCCTTGAAAATAGTAGGTATTCCATTAATATTTATTGAGTGAACAGATGAATGAATGAGTGAATTAAAGGTTGCTGCCAACTAGACATTCATTGAGCTTAACATACTCATTTTTTTCTGATTTAAAATACTTCTGAGATTCTTAAGCCACATAATTAGTCATCTCAGATGCCGTAGGAATGCACTAAGGCGCACACTTTCTGAATATTCTAAAATTTGACACTTTGGGCCCACAGTATTGGAGAAAGGAAATAATGATATTTATGTGACTATCTTGTAGATAAAAATTACTTCTACATTACCTTATTTGATCTTCTCAACAAATTAGGTATGCTAAGTATCATTTATCATTTCAAGAATAAGGAAATTGAGGCTCAGAGGTTGTGTTTTACCAAAAAAAAAAAAAAAAGCATGAACATTAAGGATAGGCAGTAAGTGGCAGGATTGCTCCAATATTTCTGTAAATATCCAAGCTCAGCATTTTCATGTTCTAAATTGTCAAAGTGAGAGTTATTAGTGTTGTAGTATTAATATAAAGTTCTCATTTTCTTCATGTTTGTTCAGGATCCTTCTGCCAAGACCTTCTGCCAAGTAGTGGGCTTCCAGGGTGTTCTTTAGATCAGTGAAGGACTCCGAAGGCAGAGTGGTATGGGAGGAGACCTTTTAGGTACATGGGACTGGTGAAATAATATTTAATGTTCAAAGGGAGCAAATGGGAAATTTCTGTGGGTAGATTCAAGGCAACAAGTAAAAAAAGAGAAAGAAAAACTCTCCTACTTTGTCAAGGGCTTTGGAGAAATCATGAAAATATTATTTTCAATAGAATGTTGAGAGAATTATACAAGGTGTATAATGCTGAGGGAAGCAGCAGTGAACCCGCCCAAAAGTTACTTGAGGGATCTCTCAAATACGTTTAAAATTATAAAGGCTCTGCTTCCTTTTTGCCTCCCTGAATAATTGTTTGAAAGCATTTAGGTGGGGCTAAGCAGGGTAGATATCTGTGCTGAGAGGAAGGCACTGATGGGGTTCAGGGTGTCAGAGCTTGAGTAGGGAGATATCTGAGTAGGGACAGGTTGCCTGCAGTGGGTGGTGGGTGGCACCAGCAATGGCCAGTTGGGAGTGGGAATAAAGGATAAAGGGAAGCCAGAATGGGTGAGATAATTTGCCTATCTGATAGTGCATGAAGCCAAGTTTGATTTGTGGTGCCCTCTGAGGCCTATCACCTTTGGCATAGTGTACCCAGGAAATGGTCTGTGATCTACTTCCCATTTTAAAATTATGCTATGCTTTCCTTTAGAAAAGATCAACGTACTGCTGTTGATGGAGGGTAGATTTTGGAGAATAAATTCTCCCTGGGACTAGTTTGCTACTATGCTTCTAATAACTTATCGTTTGAAGTCTTTTTAGTGGATAAAGCTATAATCCAAACCATCTTCCAGATGATCATATTAGTGGTTCATTTGTGTCAAGGATGTTTCAGCACAGCATTGTATTCCCTATTAGGAGTATTCAGGGCTGATTTTCACTTGGTACATAGCTGTACTATCAAACCTGTTTTTAAAAATACTAAAGTACTTCTGCCCTAGTGAGTAAAGAGCACTTAATTGTGTGCTCTCCTTATTGAGCACACAAATCACCTAATACTGCTGCCCAGTGGAAGTGAATGATAGGGCCTGGGCATGTGGAGGAGGGTGCAGATGGAGCCTGTTCCCTGTATGCACTGAGGGTACTGAGGCGGCGGTGGGAGTTCACTGTGGAAATGCAGCACTTGTTCTCTGTTCCAGGGTGGCCCAAAATTGAATGGGGTGATAGGGTAGATGGTGTTGGTGACATTGTTGTTGGCATGGGTACTTTCCCGATTGGTCCAGGCTCTGGTGTCCAGCAACCTACCTGATCACCATGTACAGAGTTTTTACTGATCTCTCCTGGGTGTGACCAACATCAGGATCCGGGGAGCTCATGACTATGAATTTAATAGAGTAGTTGTTACAAGAGTTTGGTGTGGTTTCTTCTATCAAATTGTGGCTTAGACTGGGGCATTGGTTAGGCAGTGATAGCTGCAGCATACAAAAGATTACACCAACCATGTTTAAAAAATCAAAAGGTGATTTAGAAATTATCACAATGATTTGAATGATTTAAATTTCTATTTAAATTACTTGACAGCAGATGTAATATAGAGGCCAAAAGGAAATACATTTTTTGTCTTTATTTAGATGTTTATATATACATATATCTTAATTTATATTATTAGTTGTTAAATATTTTGGATACTATCCTTGATAACTACCACTAGAAGATTTATATACTTAACTCTCTTCTTATATGTAAAATTGGCACTACCAAAAATAATCCCCAGTAATTAATAAATTTGACCTTGTTAATATTATGCTACAATATAGACAAGTTTC